AATTAATAATCGTAAACTGGATGTTCACACAACGTGGTAGATCGGAAGAACCATTCACGTTGCTGTGGAAATGAAGGTATACAACCTGGTGGTATTCAGATCGCGTAGAACTCATTGGACTCAAGCCAGACCAGAAAAGATTAGCTTCAGGTGAGCTGTTGTTGTAATCTAACCATGAATTAGAAAACGCCGCACACAAGTAGTTACATCGATGTTGTCCAGAGAAGTATGGGAAGCACCTACAGGATAGGATTCTCACGGACCCTGGGTCATCAAAGCATCTTTCGAGACAAAGGAGCAGTGGATTTCAATTATTGTCATTCAGTGTTATTAAATATCAACGTTCGCAACGATGATGATGAATATCAGTTTTGAGATAGCGGTTCATTTAACCTTGTGGAAATGTCCGCGAAACGACCTGACCATTCTGTTTAGAGACCTTAACGCCAAGGTCGGGATTGAAAACAGCGAATATGAAGATATGACGATACGACATGGACTGGGTAGATGAAACGAAAGTGGTGGGAGATTAGTAAACCTATGTACTTTCAGAAAAACAGTTATAAGCGGCACCATTTTCCCACACAAATCCATGCACAGAGCTACATCGGTTGTTTCGGACCACAGTTTCGAAAATCAAATCGATCACATCCGTATCAGAAGGTCCATGACAGCCTTCAGAACAAAGAGAGGAGTTGATATAGCTTCAGTTCACCACCTGGTGGTCGCCAAAATGAAGTCGAAGCACTGGGGAACTGAACAGACAATAACAAAAGCTTACTATAATCTCCCTTCCGATACGAGCAAGCCCGATGGATTCAAGATGATTCTCAGAAATAAGTTCGAAATCTTACATGACCTAGTGTAAGTGGTGGAATAAACAGTGAAGAACTACTGGAAAGGAATGATTTCATATGAGGTACTAGAACGCATGAAGCACCTTCACAATAGATGAATCTATGTTGATACTCTGGTCAGGATTCGAGAAATGAAGAACACGAATTCAGCAATCGATAACAGCTGAAGAGGCACAGATCGAGTGTAGATAGGAAAACAAGCAAATGAAAGGGGTACCAGAGCTGACAACCCGAAATCCGTGGAAGATCTAGCAATGACACTATGGGTAACATCATACAGAATTCTTATGGATTTAAAAGCAAGATCATCCATAGAGGAAAGCTCTCAGACTCGTTCTAAGTGCTGACTGGTGTCAAACAAGGTCTCCTACTCTCACCTTTTCTCTTTCTCCCGGTGGGCAACTAGATTGTGAAGACATAAACATACCAGTGGAAGCGCAGGATACAGTGGACAGCTGGGAGATCTGGAGTTCGCAGACGATCTGGTTGGTTCTTCTATCACACACACACCAAAATGCGTCACAAGGCAAGCCCTGACTTGGAACCCTCAAGGTTAATGAACACAGTGAGCTGAGAGTTGGAGACAGACATGAAAATGATGACGAAAGTGGTGGGAGATTTGTGAGTCCATATACTCTTAGCAAAGTTATGGACCGCTTCACGACCCCTGTATACTTTCAGAGATTAATGTCTTTGATGTAGAGCAGGAGTAGAGTCTCGTTATATGAGGTTGTTAATATCAAGGCCATTTAAATTCGTTGAAAATTCATCTAGTTTTAAAAATTCTCTTGATAAAATATATGTTGCATTGTAGAAGATTTGGTTGTTAGATATACCAGCCTTCCGTGCCATCGATGAAGAGACGGTTTATTAGATATTACTCACCATTGATCTTCTTTCATATTTGTCCCATACTTCCAAATGTTTCAGCAGGCAAGATAAGAAAGCCAAAGCTACATTATTTGAATGAAATGAGCCTTATTACATTATGTTCGCTTACAAAACAAAGGTTAGAGCACATGATAGTGCGAATTCTTCTTTCAGCTTGCAATCACTTTTCCTGAATGGTCTTGATACCATCAAACGGATGTTGAGTAAACAGCAAAATCCTGCCGAATCAAACAGTTTTTCTCATTTTACTCAGTTCGTTTTCATATTTCGTATGAATATTCAGTTTACTAGGGCATATGCTGCAATAAACAATTTGTTCAAAATGTAATATTCTTCTCCATAAAATGTCGGTAACAAATGAAACCAAGAACAGCAGATTTAATTACTAGTTACAACAAGGAGGTTACTAGTCCTGGAAACGTGTCAATCTTTAATAATGAACATGCGAAATCCCAGTCGGTGCGAGTAATCTAAAAAAGCGAAGAGGATTATTATGGCGACCATGTTGACTAGAATGCCAAGTAAAGTGAAGTGGATGTGGTTACTAATTTTCAAAAAAATAAGGTGGAAATGTAAAGAAAACAAACGTCAAGAAAAAATAATTAGTAAAATTCTTATAGCCACTCAAATTTAAGACTGTAACTGTTTGAGAAAACCAGGAGATACGAGCTATTCGTAACCTAATTTCTTGATTAGAAATACTGACCACTTTTCGTAACATGCATTGTAACATAGCTTCAGAGGTCAAAGACCAGTGGGAAAGTGTTGGAAGTCGTGTAGCGTTGTTCATAGCCAGGGTTTTCCTGATGAAAGCGTTACATTTTACTGGTCCAGATAAGACAGCTGGAAGTTGACACGCTTTATTAGCTGATCAATGTACAGCTTCTTCAGTTTCTGGGTCTGACTTATCCACAGAAATACTATTAGCTGTTTCAGTGTAATGATGTGCAAGCACAATTGTCATGGCGACAGTAACTTTCACTTTGATGAATGCTTAATGAGTTCTGTCACCCAATTCCATGGTTTTGGCATTTACATAAAGTTAGTATGTTATCGACCTCATAACGGATGTCAGGGGAGTTAATACAACTCAGATAGCTGACTGTCCGCAGTTTCCCATTTGCAGTCGATTCCGGGTAGTCCATAAATTTTGGTGACTACATTAACCGTTAACTATACACCCGAAAAGTCAGGGGAATCAGTTTCCGTGAACAGTGAATATCTGATCTATACATCCACGTTCATGTCTAAAGTCAGCCTGTGTGTGTGCAATTCACGATTCCTAGCAAGTCGTCAGAGCATTATTGTAGCCGTTATCTTGGACACTACATTAGTTCAACTGATCACAATAAAAATTTTGTTCTTTCCTTTATATCCAGACAATCAGTGATTGAGGCCAATCAGATGGGATTACATCCAGTAACCAGATTCTACCTAAGATCTCAGTCGAACTAATTGCATAAAGTGTTCCGCCCATTGATCCAATCTCCCATATTGGACACGAATAAAATTTCCATCTTTTTAGGAAATAGTCTCAATAAAGGACGGATTCCTAACACCAATTCCCTTGATATGTCTTAACAATTGATTACTATTACCCATCATCACCGTCTTTTCCATCTCCTTTGCAGTCGCTATTTACCGCTATTCACAATCATTGCGTAGATTTCTAATCTGCCTGTGCTTAGGCTACCTCCGCTCCTCAGTGTGCTGAGAGCTAAACGCGATATATAGATTCGAGCATCTATCAGTTCAGTAGATGTCGCTGAAATCCATTGATATATGATAATATTTTGTATTAACTTGTAGATATCACAGATGTTCACATAGCTTTCTAGATATTATTACTAGCTGCATGGAGGTGGACATCACTTACATGGCTGATCAACTTTTTCTAGTTGTTCCTGAAATATATTCTCGACTTTGCTATCGCTAAGTAAAACTCTAAGCGGTTTTCTCGCTGCTTTTTCTTACGCCTACTAAGCCACAGACAAATGCGTGCGCACACTAGAGAATTATTTGAGTCTAAGCATGTACTCCCAAACGAGCAACAGTCCCCTTTCGAGTCTCTCGGTAGCTGATAGCGATGTGGTCTTGTTGAACCCAGTATTGAGTCGATGTTGGAGTCAAAAGATATTCATTCTTGTGCTCAAAGTCGGTGTTTGCTAGAAATAGGCGATTGCTTGAGCGTAGCTGCAGCAAACAGTTACCATTACATGTCTGACGATCTATGACACCAAAAGATCCGCACAGGTGTCCTTCAGTTTCGCTTAATCTACCTGCTTGAGCATTACAATTACCAGCCATTATTACTACATCAGGGAGCTTAGCTTTTTGAAAGTTAGTTAGCATTCCGTAAAATTTCATCTGAACAGCAATCAGTTGGAACATAGTCAGCGGACAACGAAGATGAAACGACGAGTGTCTCATATTTCCGAGTTCTTACTTCCTCGTTTAGTCGGACAGCGGTTGTCTACTGAAATCCAGTCTGCTTTAAAACTCAGTGCTATAACTACACCAGCGTGGCCCTGGGAGCGGCAGCAGGGCTTCCAGGTGCACGAATCGCGACAGTTCTTTGTTCTGACATAGTAAGGTCGGACGAGTGGCTGTATTCAGATCTTGTATGCGTTTTGGAGATGCAGCATGCATCGATGGAGTTTTACTGGGCGCAGGGTGTGAATATTGAAAGCTCCCACACGCAGTCTACATGGGGTACCAGGATACTAGGGATAACATTTCGTTTACTCATATCGTCGGCATTAGCGAGGCGAGCTGACAAAGGGATATGAGAAGGGCTAGTCGTGGAAACAAGAGGGTTATTATGAAATGGAGGATTTGTCTGTGAGCGAGTTGATATCGTGTAAATATGAACTCCCAGTAAATTTCCACTATTCTGTCTGGACATGCGAATATTCTCCGTTGACTGTCATACTGTTTTGCTTTTAATAGTGATAGTTTATCGATGTCATATACTCCCTACCTACTGATCGCTTTTTCCATTTTGTCTGCATAATTTTTACTGACAACTTCGATTTTCGTTCATTCATTATTCGGTCACTTTTGCTTGACATGTGCATCGGTCGGCGGATTGTTAGCATAACTCTAACATATTTAAAATTTCTTGTGAAAAATTATTTCGTCTCTCACCAGTGACGTAAACTTAATGCGATTTAAACAGTCCTGTGTCTGAAACTTATTGAGATATGTGACAAACGATTGGATATATTTCATTTTTAAATTGAAAATAAAAATCAGACTTCAATGTTGCCATTTCACATTATTCATAGTGTTTTGACTGAATTCACGATGTTATGTATCCGTTTTTCAATGTGTGCAATAAAAAGCATTTCTCCCGTTTGTTTATTATGTTGGTCTTCAGTCTAAGAGTGTAATTCTCACCGAAGATTTTGTTTCAAGCACTAGCTTTTACTTCATTTGTTTTTTCTACCATCCAGCACGTTAGGAAGCGTTACACTGACGTATTTATAATGGACAGCCGTTGATAACATCAATAAAATGATGAATGGTTCATAAGTAGGAGGCATAACTATTTATTTAGTTATAAGAGTTATTACACTCCTCAAGTAAGTACAAGCTCATCTTTGCCTGATGAAACACATCGGGACATAATTTCATATAAAGATTTTGGTCATTAAAAAACACCTCATTCAGAATTTTAGTTCAAGAAGTGAAAGTGAACATCACTGTTTACAACGTGAACTGACTATGAAAGTTCTGATGTACACATTGTGATATCACGATAAACTATAAAAACTCCAAAAGAACGCCTTTTAGAAATTTCAGTGTAAAAAACAAAGGTGATTTAAACGAAAACATGTGATAATAATCAAAATCTAATTTTTGAAATGGCGAGAATAGGAAAAAATAAAACACTCAACAACAATAACACCATGTTCGGCACCAGTCGGCTGACAGAATTTCTTCAGTATAATTCAGTAAATTAGTAACAGAAATGTTACTAAAATCAACCATTCACCAAATGCAAGACCACTCATCACGCATGATATCATGTGCACAAACTCATATCGAAGACATTTGATTGAAATTACACAAAAGTATACTTGACATTTTATCTAGTCAAGATGGGATTAAAGGTCAATACAAACTCTATATAGGACCCAAGGGTTCGATCCAACACTTTTTGGAAACTATTAATGGTAAACTTTGAACAGTATCTTAACAAAGTTTCTTTTTAAACTATATTTTTACCGTTAACAATATTAAACGATAAATATTGATAGGATTTAAGCTATATGGTATACAAAACTGTTAAATTTAAGGATTAAAAGACATTTACAAATAGGAATCCTATCAAAATATGAAATTAATTTTCAAATAAGACTGAACAAACACCTTGTTCATAATTTACAAATGAAACATTGTATTTTGTCGATTAAATAATTAAGAATCAGAAAAAAGTTGTGGAATGTACACTTGTTCTGATTTATTTAACTCTGTAGACTGAGAATAACTAGCATCGTATTGAGAGATATTTACAGGATGAGATTCATTTGGACATTCATCATCATCGTCATTATCTTCAATATCATCTAATAGTAATTCTTCAGGATTTTGGCTTACAACACTATCATATAGATTTGTACTGCTAATAGAAATATGACTAGATTGATTAACATTTGATACAAAAGCGCTATTCATTGGATCATACTCTGTAAAACTCTCTTTGACATACGAGTCTGAAGTGACCCAACTAGCACTAACATCTGATGGATATTTATTAACATCAAGTGGATTTGTGTTATTTTTCACATTATTTTCGCAAATACCTTCTTCTAGATTATCATCAACTTCATCATCATCATCGTCTTCTTCTTCTTCATTTTTTTTAGATTGTAATTGTGCTGACAATTCTAGCAAACTGTATGATTGTTTACCAAGAAAAAGTGCATTTGGATTGATTAAATCAAGCATAGCACAGAGAAGTTCTGTTTGTGGATTGGAAAAAAGTTGTTGATCTTTGCCTAAAACATTTGCTTGTTGAATTAAACTCATTGATGTAGACATACTGTGTGTAGTAGTTATATGACCAGTTTCATTTGGTTTGTGAATTGCAGCAGTACGTTCAAAGTTATCAGGAATTTGAAAATTTCCACCAAATGGATCATACAAAGATTGAATTTCATCGTCAGTAGCGGAAAAGTCACAACTGAATAAAAAAAGAGGTTGATCAGAAACAAATTAGTTTGATATGAAAAATTAAACAATAACGGTTTAATATTTTATAAAACAGATTTTGAACAGTTGAAAAAACAGCTTGTAAACGTCAGATGAATAATAGTTGAATAATTCTTAAATGAACAATAAAAGTTTTAAACTAGTCAATGAAGCAAAATTTTACAACCAAAATGTAATAAAAATTAATGAACTATGCTGAAGGGAATACTTATTACTGGGAATTACAGTGCGTGGGTGGTTTCGTGATATAATGAACAAATGAACTGTAATGGAACCTAATGAATATATATATATATATATATATATATATATATATCATTCAAACTAATAAACTAATTTTACTAACCGTTCGCTGGTTTCTTTTTCTGGAAGAATACAAGGGACTTTGCTAGTGGACATCAAATGATTTGTTGACCTCAAAATGGATAACCATTCAGGATCAAGATATAAATTGGTGCATATTTCATCAGTCAAATTAGCATTGTTATTAGGTTCATTGGGTTTCAAATCTTTTTCTGAATTGTTGCATTTAGAAAGGCTGACAATTACTGGATCATCTCCAATTTGTGAAGATGAAGATAAATTAGAATCGGAATTCAGTGAACTTTCATCATATTTCAATTCCGGCTCAATATCTAAGAATTGTAAATAGTGACGATTTGGTAAACACTTATCAAGAGCTAGAAAGTGAGTGATACGTGATTTGTTGGTTTTAGATTCCTGTGAAAGAAACATAGTAAAGGTAAATTATTAAATAAGTGTATCACTGAATAAAAGCAAAAGTGGCAACAGAGAGATGATTGAAATTTTCAGTCGAATAAAAGCTAATTTCACTAAAGATTTTTTTGATTTTATGCTACATTCCAAAAAAAAGTCCATATCATGCACAAAATTAACAATCATTTTCTAAATCAGTAAGTTCAAAAATCTGAGTTAACACAAAATATGTGAAAAGCAAGCAATTTATAGAGAAATATAAGGATGGTACTATTTTCAAAGAGATATTTCTTGCAAATATTTTTAGAGTATTTGATAGTTGATTTAAAACCTTTTTTTATTCTTCATCTAAGGTAGTACTAGGATTAAACACCAGTTAAACTTTGAGAGAATGCTCAAAAAAAAGAATTACTTATCAAAGAATGATTGCCCTGGGTGTAAAACGTGCAAAACGTAAAAACCATGATTTGGTAGTTTTGTTAATAGTTAACTATAAATAAAACGAAGCGATGGTTCCAACTCAAAAGTATGGATGTGGTAGAATATCGTCGCAACTAAATTAGCATTACCATGATATGGTAGTATTTCTCCCTCCTACAAAAATGATGAGAACACTATGGCGTCAATGAGATGAGAGACTAAGAATTAAAACAACTGAACTGAAACGTTTGTGATTATGCTACCGACATAATTTATGTAAGTAGTTTAAATAATGTCTCGCTAGTTGAAATTTAATTTTGACTGAATTCCATAGTTTCCGTTCTTAATATAATGTCAAAACAGAATATCAAAAATAATTCTCTAAGTTTTATTTGATTATTATGAAAAACAGTCACATTAATTATCGATCTAACAAACAGACGTAATGTGATTTCATCAAATTATTTATACAGTATTCACATTCGTAGTCCAATGTAATTTTCAAACTGTATTGAGAAAAATCAACCAGCTGCTTTCGACTTAGTTTAAATTGTAATCAGTTAACTGAATAGAATATGCAACAAAAAGAACTCAAACAGTTTAACACTTCCTTGATTAAACAAAGATTAAGACGGAATATGGTAAATACAACAGTCTAAACACTTCAAAAAGCGCATATTATTTACCATGAAAGTTATCGAGAATATATATATATACATAAAAATTTAAATAAATATAAATTATCAACTTACAGAATGTTCAACAACTGCTGAAAATTTACAATGTAAATGAGCTGAAAACCAATATCTTGGTTTTAAACGACATAACAGCTGTTCACCAGGTGGACTACCTAATGAGTCTGATTCTATTTCATTGCGAAAATGTGGTTTTTTTCTAATCAACTGATTTGAATTTCCATAATGATATATCCCTCGAGGCCAATCATGACTCATTAATATATCTAAACGTCGACGAATTTGTCCAAGTCGGAAAACTTCCAAATTTCTTACATGATATACAGAACGTTTTGTTGCTTCTGAGTATGGTGGATGTTCATAATGACACATGGTATAATCATGTTGTTTGTATATACCTGATAAACCAGCAATTCGTAATCCAGCAAACTGGACAACACCAGCATAACCTATACAAATAAAATGATACAAGTAACACGTCAAGAAGTAATAAACAAGTTGGTGGAGCACAGGGTACTTTTATATGTTCAATTGCAACTTTCTATGTAGGAACCTAGTACCCGATATTCTCATATAAGATATTTTTTCTACTTATGAGGGTAATTAAGCTTGTAGTTACTTGAAAAACAATATACGCTGACCCAGTGAAGGAAACTCGTTCACTAAATAGAAAATTCAATAATTTAGAACGAAAATTATTTATAACATTTAAAGATAGTGCGACTGTTTACAGTTCCTCATCATTACTATATACATAAGTAAACAGTTAATATTATTTTTCAGTCCTCAATATGAATCACGAATTCAAACTATTGAACGTAAACAGCCATATTTCTTACATACGTTATTTTGAGTATATTCACCAGAAAGGGAGTATTAGAAAAGATATTACATCAATTGCTTGTTTACATCTCTACGGTAATCAAATGGAAAATGAAATAAATGTTTGACATTGTTGTAAATAAGCAAATAAATGGACGTGGGAAAAGTTGACGATTATTCCTCGGTGAATTCACACATGTATTTTGAATACATATTTATCCAATAATTACTTTATGATATTTTAGTATTGTTTTTATTTGAAACTTCTATTTGAACATCTTTTTTAAAATTTTAGCTAATTAACTGTTAGTCTATTTACGCATATTTTGTACCCGAAAAATCGTAATTATGCGTATACACAGTGATTTATTATTGCCTCGAATATATCTTTCAAACATGCGCGTTTTTAGTATGTGAGTAATAATATACGATAACTCAGTTGGAATACTAGTGTTTTGACTAGTAGTGAAAGGGAGAAACAAAATTCAGAATGAGCGAACTGATATTTTCGATGTAAGTGTAAAATATAGTACTAGTCTATAAAAGCGAGTTATAGAAAAAATCCGAAAACTATGAAAACAGTTTAGTACTTTTATATGAATATAGAAAACTCCTTATTTATGGAAGCTCATACATCACTTATGCTACTTGTGGATAGTGATTTGCTATAAAAACTTAAATTTAAAAGTTAAACCAAATATCTTGCATGATTTCGTAATGAAGTAAATTACTAAGTTCTGAAGATTGATACCACTCTACCAATGCATATATATATATACATATATATATAACTAGTCTGAAATATACATTTAACTAGAACAAACGTATAACTGAGATGCGTTGTAATACTACCAGTGTGATGGATACTATTCGTAACGTAGGTTCTAAGTAGTACACAGTGGAGTGTCACTCAGGAGTTACTACCAGAAAGAAGAGTGTTGGATCAGAATGCATGGTGCGATTAAAGTGTTTTGAAGATTAAAAGATATATGAAGGGAAATAGTCAATAATCTGTTTGTTTTGTAAATGAATGTCCAAATATTGAATGTATCTATTTTATTAGTAAACTGTTCTCTAAATATATTACTATTCCATCTGGTCTTGACGTCTTCGTTCATTACATCAGTGTTCTTACAAGCAGAATTCACAATACTAGTCTTTAAAATATCAATGGTGAAATTCAAGCTGTAAATTAAGTTTTAAACAATTATTATATCTCATTAATGAACTCCAAAGTATATCATAAACAATGGCTACACGTTTGTTTCAAACTCGGCTCAGCAGATCAACATACAAATTACTGTTAAGTGCTCTTTAAAATTTAGTAAATTAATCCCATTACTGTGGTCACGAATACTTTCAATACTTTAATGAGCAACTCACTATCCATTAAGAGGTTAAACTAATCATCTATACAAATTTAAATGGTTCACAACATTAAGGTCACGAGGAAAATAATACAGGCTAATATGGGCGACCATCAAAAGGATGAGCATTTTAATAAATTTGATGAATCTAAGAGACAATAACATTTTTAATAGTGTGAAATCTGCTTTGAAAATTTCCAAGAAACAAGCTAACATACTCGAACCATACCTACCGTACAGATACTATTTAAAATAACTAGATCTCCTAATTTTTCATTTAAACTTGGTAGATAAAAATAATGGATGTCAGAATTAATAAATAAACGATTTACAGAGATGTGTTTTCGAATCAATTCAAAATGGATTTACCCATATACCAGATGTTCGGAGCGACCCAACCACCATATGGTAATTCCTGCAGATAACCAGATGCTTCATGATTACCTCCAACAAACAATGTTAAATAAGGCGCCCTACTTTCTTCAGCATAATACCTTTGAGATATAATAAAATGAAAACCTGAAAGATTTACATAACATAATAACTAGTGAAAAAGTTTAGGACTGAAAAAAGACAATTAATTTCTTGTTGAGAAACAAGTGCAATTTGAACTGATAACTTAGAGCTTCTTAATCGTAGTTAGTCTTTATTGAGTGGGAGGAATGTTTATTGTAGATTAATTGACAGGAAGATTATAAATGAGAAGTGTAAAATTCTTTACTAGTTTATTAATGTAACTCATATCCACGAAGTGTACTTTCAGGTACTTGAGTTCGAAGCACACATACATTAATATGTGTTGAAGGCTAGTGATACAACCCAGTGTTCTAATCCAAAGTAGATAGAACAGGGTTTGAACGACTTTTTAACAAAGATAGACCAAATGAACATTCAAAATGTAAAGTGTAAAATTACTCTTGCCAATTGAGGGTTAATTTGTATAATTGTGTGAATAAATAAATAAATGTTCAATACAGATGCACATATATATATATATATATATATATATATATATATATATATATATATATATATATATAAACATAATAGCCGGTGTTGTGGGTAAGATTCAAAATTTTTATCAAAAATTTGAATTGTATCCTTTTTTCCTAAAAACATCGACAAATTCAAGGGTCAGAAACAAAGAAAAATATACATTTTTGGTAATCATTTTAGAACATCAAACAACATTGATCTGGTGATTATCTATCCGTGAAATTATTACACAAAATGAAAAGTAAAACAATATATAGAAATTTACATACCTCCAAAAATCACCCATACGGTAATATTTAGATGGAATACTCATTGTGGTTAAATCACCTGGATTGCGAACAGCCTGAAAATCACCACAGCATAAAACTAGGTCAGTTTTAAACTGACCCTGTTGTTCGGCTTCAGCGATGTCAGCGTACACACAGTCTAACTCTCCATGCAAACAACCTACTACACACACTTTTACCATAATCGGACTTAGTGTAATCAGATATATCGCAGATTAAGAGAAAAAAGATTAAAGAAAAACAAACAATTTTGCGTCACTATCATTTCATCTGATATAATGATTATGACAAAGTCGAGATACTTTATAAATAATTTTCTGTATCACATAACAACAGAGTTCACGAATATAAAGCTGCAAAACTATTTACGATATATGACCCATATACTTGTTTGAGCATCAATGAAAGCAACTTAACATAAGAAACTGGAAAAAACAATCAGGTAGTTTTACAACCAGAAGGTACTCAAACGGAAAACCGAAAGTTTTGACATAAATTGGTATTAGTAGAACAAGACCGTGCAAAACCACAGATTAATCGAAAGCTGTTTCACCCTCCATAATAGTGCAAATATAGAACCACATAGAAACGAGCTCAAAACTATTGAGTCATGATTAATGGTTTAAATACTATCAAGTTGATTCATTTTGGGATATGTTGGGTCGTCTGTTTCCAATACTTTCAATCGATTATAAAATAACTCCCAATTTCATTGATTTCATGTGTCCCGGCTTCCGTTATAATTTCAACTAGTCCCTATTGATCCGGTAATTTATCATGTACGCAAATGGATTTGTGTAGACTTTCTTTAGCATGAAGATAATTGTGCTTACAACCGAACATCGGCTGGAAAACTACATTAAAAATCAGGAAGCACTAGACTGGTATTTATTAGGACGTGTTTAAGAATTTAAAACGATTGAACTAAAAGTAATTGACAACTGTATTATTTGATTGGTTAATGCAGCAGAACACTAATATGAATTTAATTAATTTGTGCCGCTGAACTGACTCGAAATAACGAACAAAATATTTCACGAACATAAACAGAAGGAAACCGAATACAATCCTAATGTTTCAAAGAAGATAATAGGAGTAGATCAGTTGAGTTAGTGAAAAATAGTCTATTTTTATCAATCCAGATTCTGCATAGAAACTAAATCTTTTCACAACTCCAGTGGGTAGTCATTATATTTGAAATAATAATAAAATGAAAGTGGAAACATAACTTATCGGCATAGTACAGATTGAATACTTGGTTTCAAGTTACACATACTGTGTAACGGCTAGTGATATTAGACAGATGGTTGAAAAACACAAACAGGTATGATGTAAAGTCAACCTGTAACGTACTAATTAAAAGTTGAGTGTTTGATATTACACCGGCAGATTATTGGTTTAAACAACTTGAGAACATTTTAACAATGTAAGTAAACACTGTTTTCAATTAAACAGTATGATGCTAACTAACTAATCGTACGCTCACAAATGAAAACATTTTATGACAAAAACAACCTTTCACTATTTATTAAATTCTTTCAATATGGAATAAAATTGCAAAAAAAAACATAGTAGCTGTTCGTTATGTGAACATATCAAAACCTCATGCAAACAATACATTATCACTATTATCACGATATTGAATATCACATTTAATCTAAACTTTATTCTCGCTAACTGGAAAACAGAAAAAAAAAACAACTGATAACAAACAACATATCATTGTATTTAGATTGTTCGAATTTACAGTCGCATTAGTAATATTCATTGACGGAAACAATGCAAAAGTTAAAGATTATAATAATTTAAAAATATTTGATTGACAAATAAAGCAGTTTTATCGACGCTGGTGATCGCGTTGAGGAGGATAAAAACGATCATCTGACCCATGATATCGCATATTACCGCCACCACGCGCTGACGAATTATTAGGATTGTAACCACCACGTGAACAACCACCACCAACAGCACCGCCACGATTGTGTTGCACTTGGTTCTGAAATATTTATAAAGGTATATAGGTTCATTTGTAAGTATCTTTTAAAAAATTATTCACAGATTAGCTATTAAGTGATTTAAAAAGCTTACAATAATTAGACATGTAATTTTACTTCAAGTTGTCCAGATTTATAAAAACATAAATCAAAAACTATATTATATTATCAAATGCACGATCAACTTACAGACTGGAATCCACCACCATAGTAGGTTATTCTATTGGTGTCAGCGTATGGACCACCTGGTAGAAGAGCAGGCCCGTTAAAACCTTGGTTGTTAAATGTGTTAGTGGGTAGATTATTACTATTATTATTATTATTACTACTATTGTTATTGCTATTGGACCAGCCAGATTGTGCGTTAATTGAATTAGCTATGGAAACAGCAGCTGCTATTGCAGCAGCACGAGCAGCATTTACATTCCCACCGCTACTTCCAACACCGACCCCTAAACCACCAGGACCAGGAGCTGAAGTGAATCGAGCGAAAGGTGAACCTGAACTTCGTGAACGTGATCTAAAATAAGGAATTTTGAAATATGAGTGATGTTGAGCAATAAAGAATTTATTGTTTAGTTTACATTACTCTTTTTACATATTATAATTATCATTTAGCCACACATAAATTTTTTCACAAAATAGATTCGTTAACATATGCATTTTCTTTGAAGATATCTCCTGAATTCCTGTTATTTTAGTATTGCGATTTGAATTCTTAATTTCATTTATCCAAATTACAGCTAGAATTCACATTCTGATAAATGCACAATACGTTTTACTGATTGTCTACTGTGTTTTTCATTATCACTTGACTCGATACTTTTTAAGATAACTTACCAGCTAAATATAGGCGAATACTACAGTGATACTACCAAGTATCTTTAATTACAGATAGAGAAAGTTATCAAATACTAATAATTTAGCCATCTACTAATCGAATAGATGGTCACAATATTTTCAAAAAGTATTTCCAATAACGGAAAAACTAAACTATACTCTGGCTACCTTATACTATAATTTATACTGACATAAAAACTAGAAACACAACAAAGAAAATCAAGTTTATACTGTTAACACTGAGCATACTTTGTAAATGAGAAGGAACCAAGTGTGAAATGTAAACACAACTAACCTGTTACGTCTTCGATCTCTTGAGAAGCCACGTGATTGGCTACTACCAGTTTCATCATCATTATTAGGTGATACGGACTTAGAAAGAGAATCACGAGAATCAGAGCGTGAATGAGATCTACTTCGAGAACTATGAGATCTGGATTGTGATCGTGAACGAGATCGGAAGTCACGAGAACGTGAATCCGCAGAATGAGAATGAGACTTTGAACGTGAATCAGATCTGCAAACGATGAATTTCAAAAGAAATTAAGTAATGTAAAGAATAGTTAATCTTCAGTAAAAAAGGTTATATTTATTTTGCTTATTAGTGATCTGATTTGATGAGTTTTTTAAGTATTACATTTAACAGTTCTCCACTTCATACATATTAGAAACTCATAAAAATTAGCACTAACCTAGTTCTGGATCGCGATCGGCGAGATTCAAAACGATCAGCAGAAAATCCTGGTGGGGGTCTCTGAATCAGACCTTGCGGCAATGGAAGAGTTGGTGGTGGCTGATTAACAGGAGGAGGAAACTGTAGGAAGCTTGTATTAGGAAATCCACCGGGTCCAGGTGGAATGGCGCCCAGCAAACCTGGTAACGGAGGAACGGGTATAGGAATACCTGGTTGAATACCAGCTGATTTATAAGCACTATAATTATGGGTTAATTGTCCTTGCATACACTGCATAGGAGGAGGAGCCAATGTTAGTGCTTCAAGGCCAGTTCGAAGAGGTTGACCGATTGCAACTTTGGGATAAGATGTTATATATGCTAGTTGTGATGGTCCAAAGGGGCCTTCACTGTCTGAATTGTCGCGTGAAAATGGTTTTTCAACATCAATAGATGTGTCATGCTGAACATCTGGAACTAATTCATTTGTAAAATCATATTCCGAATGACTACTTGCATAACTACCTCCACTATGTTGACGGCGTCGATTCGTTTTTGCTTTATTGGTAGATGTGTTATCTTTCTACATAAACAAAGTGAAAACATACATCAAGTGCTAGTAAAAAAGGACATTTATTCTTATAAACGATCACACAAAAACTATAATATCTATGTTGATATGGAAAGATAAACAAAGCATTCCATGTATAGCAAGTTTATCGTCAGAACTAAAGATAGAATGATAAGTGTGAAAAATATTTTATTGATATAAAATTTCTAAAAATATTATCCAGCTGGGTCATGAGTTTGTGATTGAATCAAAAAGTAAGCTAGTGAGCCATGACAAATGATTGACTTCAAAAGGTTATAAAATTCCGTGATTACTATGAAAATGGAACATATAAAAATGATTCTAATGAAAATAAAAACGGTTTTTCTCAGGAAGAAAGAGGAAAATAAAATATTTATATTAAGCTTTTATAAACCCGAATTCTAAGAAGAAAAGTAGTCCAAAAATAATATCAGAGAATTTACAAAGCGAAACCACTAGAGGCTAAATCACTTTGGTAAAAAAAGACAATATTTTAAATTAGATGTCAGTCAGCTACAACGTAGAACTTCGCACGTACGTACATCAGTTCAAGTTGCAATACCACATCAACATAGAGACGCAACTGTCAGTTCAAATTCCATAGTGGTGGAAATAGGAGAAATATTAGCGGTAATGGATATTATTCAAGAAGTATGAATCAGTGAAATAAATTTAGAAAGAGAGACAGATGTGATGAATAATTCAGAAAATGACTCAGTTTACTTAAAATTGACTTCATGGACTTGTGCCGTGTTTTGGTTTCGCCTCCCCTAGCTTTCTTCCAACCTATTCAGACACTACAAAACATTGTTCGTCAAGTCAGTCGGCTGTTGAGAATACGTAACACACGTCCCAACCACAACAACTGACGAAGTTTCATTACTGTATTTCTGGATTTGTCATCCATAACTAGTACTCGTTTCCTAACGATATCACTGCTAATTGGTTGTATCAGGATACACGAGCAATGCTTCGAAGACATCTATAATCGAATACTAATAACCTACGAATATCCTCAACTCTTACTGGCTATGTTTCGCATCCATATAGAAGGACGGAGCAGTCAGTCAGTCAGTTGCAACGTAGAACTTCGCACGTAAGTACATCAGTTCATGTCGCCATACCACATCAACACAGAGATATAATTGTCAATTCAAATCCAATAGTACAAGAGGTAGTAAAGGTATTAGAAGTAATCGGAGAGGTTAGAATTATTATTCACGAAGTATGATTCAATGAGATAAGTTTAGAAAGTAAAAAACTATAGGTGTTGAAGAATCCAGAAGATTAGGATTTGAGAGAACACAAAGAATAAATGCACTGGCGCCATTGCGAACGATTTTGAGCCAGGTCATCCAAGGTCTCTAACCATCGATTATTATCATCTCGCGGACCCCAACCAGGTAGTCGACAATTACCGACATGGCTAAGTCCACTAGTCAATGACTTCATGGATTTCTGCCATGTTTTGGTCTGGCCTCCCCTAGCTTTCTTCCAACCTATTCCTACACTACAAAACAAAGCTCGACGAGGCAGTCGGTGGTTAGGCATACGCAACACGTGTCCCAACCACCTCAACCGATGAAGTTTCAATACTTCATCTATTGATCTGCCATTTTTACCTAGCACCCGTTTCCTAATAACAGCGTTGCTCACTCGGGTGTCCCACGATATACGAGCAATGCTTCGAAGACATCTATGATCGAAAACCAATAACCGACGAGTATCTTCTACTCTCATTGGCCATGTTTCACAGACATAAAGTAAGACGGAGCGAACTACTGCGCAGTACACTCGTCCTTTAGTCAGCAAACGGATATCTCGCCTACGCAATAAGTGACGCAGGTTGGCAAAAGCCAATCGAGCCTTCTGTATCCGTGCCGAGATTTCGTCAGTCACCAGGCCATCAGCACTGATGAGATTCCCAAGATAAGTGAAGCGGTCTACACGTTCGACTACTTCACTCCCTATCACTAGTTCAGGTGCCGATGCAACCCAACCCAGTCTTGAAGCAACATTTTGCATTTCGAGGGGGAAAACCGCATCCCGAACATGCTTGCATTGTTGCTTAGGGTAGTCAGAAACCACTGCATTTTGTCAGCGTCTTCACCAAGTAGGACAATGTCATCGGCATATTCTAAGTCAATAAGCGAGCCACCTGGTAGAAGGTCTACTCCTGAAAATTCAGACGAGGATAATGTTATTTCTAGGAGCATGTCTATGATAAAATTAAACAAGAATGGAGAGAGTGGACATCCCTGACGGACACCACATGATGTAGAGAATTCCGGTGACAGTTCGCCATAAGCTCTCACTCGACCAGTGGTGTTTGAGTAGAGAGCTTGTATGAGGTTAATGTACTTCTTTGGTACACCTTTCAATGACAGACACTGCCACAGAACCTCACGATCCACAGAGTCAAATGCCGCCTTAAGGTCCAGGAAAACAAATATTGTAGGACGCCTAAATGTGTGTCTATGTTCCAGGACCTGTCATAGTGTGAAAATGTGGTCTATACAGCCACGTCCAGGTCGAAAACCAGCCTGGTTTTCTCGAGTCTGCTCTTCACGAGCTCTAGTTAGACGTCTAAGTATAATCGAGGCTAACAATTTAGAAGGACCATATAGAAGGACGGAGCGAACTACTGCGCAGTGCACTTGTTCTTTGGTTAGCAGATGGGTATCTCGCTGATGCCATAAATGATGCAAGTTAGCAAAAGCCAATCGAGTCTTCTGTATCTGTGCTGAGATTTTGTCACACACTAGGCCATTAGCACTGATGAGACTGCCGAGATAAGTGAAGCGGTCGACACGCTCAACTACTTCACTCCCTATCACTAGTTCAGGTGCTGACGCAACCCCATCCTGAAGCAAAATTTCGAGGATGAGAACCGCACCCGGAGCATCCTTGCATTGTTGCTTGCTTACCTTCTCGGAAGAATTTCGCATCTTATATTATTCTACTCAATTGATCAGATGCAGCAGTGTGAAATTACTAGAGACTAAGAAAGTTAAAATACCTAACACAATTGCAAACCGAAAGCCATTAACAGTACCAACTTAAGCACTGAAAATATTATTGAATTTTAGTGGGAACAAACATTTTGTATTATGAAACAATCATATTTTACTATCACTATGGAAGTTTAGAAAAGAAGTACGTAAGCCGAATAATGTTTTCTTGATTGAAAATTCTCATCATTTTATTAATATCGAGAAATATTAATAAGAAATATCCTACTTAACAAATTCTTATCAGATTCTACAACTGTAAATCGAAATAATGTTCTAAATAAAAAATAACTAGATTTATGGTATACATATCACTGACAACTGCAAACATATATATGCTGTTATTCTAAATGACATATTTATTTGCTTTGATAGCCTCTTTTGAATATTAATTTGGAATGAGAACTGTAGAACTTATTGATGGCAATTCATTCGAAAGACTAGTTTTCGTTCAAATAAGCGTTTTCAGAAAACCAATCAAATAGGATAGATCAATCACCTTTAAAGTTTCTTCTACTGGTAATCATTAAAACTGATAATAAATAAATAAATATTTAGAATAGAAATACATCTAATTTCGCAGTTTTAATCGAAATCTTCAAATAAATTTACACAAATATGACCAACCTCGTCGTTTTCTTTATGTTCAGACGGACGAGCTCGCTCTTTTTTCGTATAAAATTCATGAAGAGCCATATGTTCCCAACCTTCACCGTCACGTGGTTTATCTGGGGTAGGTGGCATGTAAAAATTTTCCAATGCTATAAGCAAACGTTCAGACGGTGTTGTTGGAGGTAATAATTGTAGATTATTTTCATTCAACGGAGTAAAATCGAAATCTTTTAATCGAATTAATGGATGCAATAATCCTGCAGGTAATTGCCATGCAGGGAATTTTTGATTTATATCATAAGATTCAATAACTGGTATCATAGAATTGTCTGAGTCTTTTGTAGCTTCCAGATCAGCCTTAGGTGTTATATGCTGCTGTTCCGTACCGGCAGTATTTTTGTTAGTATCATTAGAGTCAATTTTCTTTTTTTCATTACCTGTATCAGAATGAGATGGAGCGGAGGAAAATCTTGAAGGACGACTACCCCGAAATGTTCGAGGTTTTTCATCACGATTACTTTGATTGTCTCGTGTGTTTCGAGCCCCGTGAGAAGACTCTTCATACTGCCGATAATCGTTATTATTACTATTACTATTATTATTGTTATTATTATTATAATAACCTCCATAAGGTGCTATAAAAAGAAGAAGAGAATGAACTTTGCTCGACAGAGTGCAATTTAATTAGACCAAACGATAATATTTTTCGTTTAAGATGATTTACATGAAAGAAATTTGAACAAAGCACAATAAGATAGTTAATGTGTTATCAATCAAAAAATAAGTCGTCCACTTATGAAAAAAGATGACAAAGAAATAAGAAACTACGAAACATTTCAAATATTAATTTGTCGTATCTAATGAAATATTTCAAATTGGTTAAGGTTGTCATAAATTTAATTTAAATTTGCTCTTATAAATAAATCAAGAATGAATCTCTTAGGAGAATGCTGTAACTTTATGGACAGACAGGGACAATATAAAAGAAACCGAATCAATTCATTTATATTTTGTGTCATATATGTGTACACATTTTACTGTTTGCCTAAAATACAATTTCGCCTCCAATTTCATGTCTTGTATTTTGTTTGATTGCCGCTTGAAAGTAATGAATAGGAATTCATTTTTAAAATGTCAACTGGACAACCATTTCGCCTAGTTTCTTTTGACTTTTAAAGACAGCCCAGTCCAGTATAGTAACGTCACATAGTTATTAATTCACTGGGAACTACAATATTATTTAATCAAGTGTTTTTTCTCTAATTCTTTGAGATTCACTAACAAAGGTAATAAGGACTGAGAGATAATAAGCTGGGAGAATATTTCGAAAATCAGTGCACAAATACTAGTTATTATTTAAAAATTATTCACAAGACTATAAGATGTTTTTGAAATATTTCCAAAATAATTTATGAATGGATTAGCCACAGGAAAAATTCCGAAGAAAAATCGTTAGATTGGCCAACATTCTTTTTCCTCAAAGACTGATTTGAATTCAAAAAGATTGGAAATGTCAAAGAATTTAAAACTGAAACTAGAATGCCATCATCAAGTAACTGATAATGATTTTCTTAAATAATGTTAGTTTTTTATATCTCAACAAAATTACTGTTACTGTTATGACCAATTATTATGACCGATAAATGACTACTTTCTGCTAATCATTCAACGGAACAAAACTGAAATAGCTCATAGCAATGAAGAGAGATAGATTGTTACGTGAGGATTTATTTATGTTCCAATCACTGATAAAAACGACATTCAAAATAACTATGAAACACCATGCAAAGGTTCTATTAATAAATAAATCTCAGTGAATTAAACGAACAGTCAACTAGTGATTTAACGTGTGTATACACTTTAAGAAATCAATAAATCAAATGTTTTAACTAAATTACGGAGTGGTATATTATTTTTCCTCATGATACCTTATCCTTTACAATTTGGATGCAATTGAGAAGGGTTTGTGGAAGATGAGAGGAGGTTAACGTGAAAACTAGATATCATTCGTAACCCCCCCCCCCTCTTCTCCTCGTTTTTCAACACACTGGAGGTAAAATAGTACTTTTTTTTCACTAATCAAATAGTTAATACAAATGAAGGATAGTGATCATAAAAGTAATTTAATCTCAATTTTCAGGAAACATAAAGACAACAAGAATTACCTAACTTAATTTGCACTAAAAATTAATGTCCTTTTTCGTTTTATATTGAGCTCCTTTAAAAGTAACTAAAATCAGAACCAGAATAATCGGTAAAGCCTTTGTTGACGTAGGTGAAGCTAAATCTTGAAATACTAATGGTCAATAGAACGATAACACCTGCTATCGCCTTTTTAAAATAGTTTAGTTAATAATGTTTGTTGAGTACAAACTAGACAATTCTGAAGACTATACAACGACGATTGGTTTATTCAAGATCAACCAAATGTCGTATTTAATGGTAGAAACATGATATAGCAGAAACATAGTCTATAAATCAACAGTACAACATTGAAAAATCTGCAACATACACAATTCAAATAATGTTTAAAGAGTTATTTTTGAAGTGACTATTAAGTAATATATAGGAGTGACATTTGAAGAAAATAGCATACTAATTGTAATTAAAATTAACCAAATCGAAATTATTAATAAATTTACCACATTCATATGACGAATTAGGATAGGCAGATTGTTCATCTTCTGGTTCTTCGCCTTCTATATACACATTGCTGCTTAGTTCATGACCACCAAAGTTTTTATGCCCAGGTTGAGAGTTGAAATTCGGGATAGATTGATTCCACTTGGCAGGATCATGCTGCCCAGGTAGCCAACCCATTGGAGGAGGAAAACTAGTTCCACCACCACCCGCACCACCACCACCAAGTCCTGCAAACCCTGACATTTGTGGAGGTGGAGGATAACCAGGTATTCGACGTTGCATATCTCTTGGATCCGACCCTCCCATTATATCCTGTGGACCCATGTCAAATCCACCAGTGGTTTGTGGTGGTGGACCCCAGTAAGAAAAGTTTCGATCAACATTCTTGAAACAAAAGAGATAAAACGTGTTGAAAGTTACATAATGTCCTCCGATTCCAAAGAATCAAAATAGATACTTTGCCAACATGGAGAACAGACTAACCAGTCATTAAATGTAAGCTCATTAAATATAAAAACGCGATTCTAATCGTAACAAACTTATGTATTGAAAAGCAGACTTAACTTAAATAAAACTGTCAGGTCGTGTTAAACTCGTAAATTCACAGCAAACCGTTAGTAATGTTAAACAACAATAAAAAAGTAATTGATAGAAATAAATGTAAGTGAGGAAATAATTGCAGGATTTGTTTTAAACAATAATAATCAAACCAGTTTTTATGCAAGCGAATAAGTTTTATTCGGGTTAGTATTCACAAATCGATGATTAAAAAAGCAAATACTACACTAAATTTTGGTACATTTGTAGTGAATGAAAACACAGGTGGAGGCAACCGAATTGTATTTAGCGAAAATTACAGAGTTACTCAGTAAAATCTGAAAACCATATCGTAAATCGTTCATTTGCAAAGGATCAGTTCATCCTATGGAACTGGACTGTTCCTGTTGCCAAACATCAATCCATTGTCACTCTTCATGCGTTTCAAACAAATTCCATTGTTTTCTGACTCTTCCTTTCTTGATCTTCCCCCCATATTATGCTACCAGACTTTACGTTGACACTCACGCTATATACTACTTATAAGTAGTTCGCACCACAGCACCACACATTTAGAAAGACTTTAATTAAAAATCATAATTTTGAAGCTTCAATAACTCTTATTAGTCAGTGAACTAAACACTATGAGTAAATATTCAGTTTTGATTGAAGACAGTTGAAGATCTTGAAATACTATACATAAAAAAGTAATCGGTAGAATGAATCAGACAGTTATGATTCATCTTTTTTACTGACATGAAGTTCTAACAGTAATAATAAGTCACAAAAGTATTTCTCTATTTATAAATGATGTGTGGAAACGTTAGTAAAATCAATCTAGGCATTAAATCAGTCACAAGTCAGCATTGTATAGAATGACACTAAAAAGAAAATATTATTTGTATACTATATATATATTACAAACTATTGAAATGAAAATATGTAGAACGCATAGCAAATAATAAATATCACATGTTTCATTTAAGGCATAGTTAAGATAGTTGTAAATTATGACCAAAGAACAATACATGAAATAATTGTAATTAGTTTGGTATACGGAAAGTTAAAAAGTAAAAAAAAAGAAAGCACCAATCAATTCTATGAGAGATTACTGCATTTATGAATTCATAAACTATGAACTATACTATTATTTTTTTTGTAATTATGAATAACTTCGAAATAGTTAGAAAAATTTTGACAATTGAATAAATATCGCCAGACTAATGATTAACACACTGTTTAAAGAGATGAACAATCATTGTAGGACAAACACAATTTTGTTATTCTATATTAATTATGATACTTTTAATGAATTAACAATGAATCAATGTTTATTCAATTGTAAATAACGATGACAAGTGTGAAATCAAACTGGATTTGCTTTAAAAATTGATTAAGCAAATGAAAGAAGATGCAGAGACTACATAATAAAGTAGAATTTGTAAAAATCTTCTATGTAAGAAGAAAAAATCCCCAAAATTCAACTAGTTAATTCATTTATACGCTAACATAAATAAAACACTGATAAACAAATAAATATGAATGATCAAAATGATTATAAACAAACCATTCAGTTTACAAAAGTAACACCATATATATGAACAATATGAAATGGTAGATTTACTAGTTAGAATATCAGTGAAGAGAGAAATAAACGCAAAACCTAATACTTGTTGATATTTTATAAATGTTATGGAAAACAGTTTACATGTGTTTTTTCTCCAACAATGATATGAAAAAGTCTAACATCAACAACAACTTCATCAAACACACATACCATGATAAATAGTTGAAACGACACTTTATTCTGCTCTGAAACTTATGGTTGGAAATAGACCTCAATATCAAAATATTTCAAGGTGATTTGTGTCTAGTCTCAAGCCACTTCAAAATTTCACAAATTATTTCACTTAAAACTTTTTTCAGGAACTATAACTTCAGTATAAACAGCTAATAAGTAGTGCCCACATACACAAATACATTCTCGTAGTACTAATCGTAATGTCTTGTACACAGACACATACATATATATGATAAAGTACAATACACAGTGCCAATGTGAACAAACCTGCATAGGATGATGAGATGGTCCGTATGGTGCATGATGATTATCAGAGATAGATGCTTCATCTGACTTATCGGAATGAGATGAAGCTAACTGTCGTAGTACATGATCTGCAAACTCTTGATGCTGTCGTTCAAGACTAGTGTATTGATTCATAATATTTGCTTTAATTTTGTCTATTTCACTTTCAAACGGCTGAAGAAAAAACAAACAAACAATCGTAAACAGCTTGAAAAAACATTAAACCATACTTTTAAAAATATGTATTTTGGGCAGCCTGTGTGAAATTCTCACTTTATGACTATACTACTTATTAGTAATCAAGATTCATCCCTTTCTCGTGTATGTCATTGGTTGAAATATTTGGCATCGACACGAATTTTAAACCCGTCAATTTACGCTGGGCTGTTTTATGATTAACTGTTGTTGTTGTCTAGTTACTTTGCATGTAAGCTTAGGTTTAATTAATAACGATTACTGTAGAAACATACATTATTTGTATACAATATACATTAATATGTCCCAGTAACCATGACAGTATTTTGACTCAAATAGATCTCGAGTGAGTTATTCAGGTGAATCCAACCGCTTTCTAGTGAATCTGACACCATTTTTCAATGGATATAATTTCAAAGAAGAGTGATGTGTAATAGCAAAGAACAGACAGAATTTTGTATATCACCATATTGTTGTTGTATAGATATAATATATAATAACTGTTAAATGGCTTGATTTTTTCATTACCTGGTTTTATAAATATCTATTAATCTAGCTATTAAAACAGTCATTCACTTTAAATGTATCAGATTTCAAATCGACTTTTTAATGCTAATTGAAGCATAAGAAAACTTGGGCTCGACACAAAAGTTCAGTATAGTTTTTTGGAGAGAAATTCCTTTTGTAATCAAAAGACTAAGAATTATAAACGATACATGTTATTGAAGCACGAAAAAAAAACAATTAAACAAGAGCAGTGTAAGTAACTAGCATGTACACAGCACAGTAAGAAAACAACACCCACATTTCTAAAATTGAATGAAATTCGAACAGTTAAACTTTTTTTCAATATTGCATTTGTCTAAGTCTAATTAATGGCTTGTCATTCTTAATTTAGCGCTTTGAATACTATACCGATAGTAAGAAACAGCCAATCTATTTATTTAGATTTAGATATTTGACATTAAAGAAGTGTTACATTTTCCTATTACAGTTTCTGGCAAGAGACCACGATACTTTCAATGAACACTTTTAAATTAGTGACTGAATGGCAATTCAAATAAAATACTGTAATCTAGCAATTAAATAAGGGGTTAATAGTTAACAGTTTTCAATTGCACACGATAATATAAAACAGAACACAGAATTATATACAGACAAAAAGAGTGTTAACTGTGTGTTTTTATAAGCAAACAATTGTGAAATAAGTGAGTTATGAAATATAGCAATACTTCTTAATTAACAAAAAATATCATTTCGCATTGTATCTAGTTGATCACAATAAGAAGTAATCAACATTATGAGGTTGGCATGCTGATGTAATATTGACTGCTAGAAATAAAAATCTACTTGCAGAATTAATAACAGATCTGATTAACATTTAATGAATATGGAGCCATCATTCATTGCAAAATCAGTTTTGAAAAAAGAACCTTGCTTTGTTTATGCAAATCATACGTAAGAATATAATTTCACTTAACAATGAACGTGATCTAACAAAACCAACATTATCAATTGTCAGATGATGAGCTGCACTAGGATTCCGGTCTTCAGTACTAGTAGAATGCAAGCTATTCAGTAAGAAACAAACTAACTATTAGGTAAAATAACAGGAAAATAATTTATTTGTTAGTAGGATATAGACGGAATGAAGGCATATCCAATGCATGGTTATTTTGGGACATGCTGGTTGGCACATTCTTAGTCAATCAGAGCCAGCAGACAACTGGAGACGGTTCTAAATTATTCTGGTGTAAAAATTAAAAATGCGCAACCCTTTTTATTGCGATGATTTGTTCGCACTCAACTTGGTTTGTTAGAATAACAATAATAACTATCTGCCCAAACGATGTTCTGATTTCTGGAACTAGTTGAGCATTGTAGAGTGCTCGAAGAGTACTAAGCAATAACATGACCGGATCAAATAAACCAGATTTTAACCATTATCAAAAGAATAAAATTTGTGTGGCGTTTTTCCTCATCTCAGACTAAAATCTGATGAGTTATTAAGTATCCTGCTTATCAATTATATCCATGGATTGTGACACAGCAGGTTTAGTCTATAAAGAGGCACACCGCCAAAACTGTAAGAGTGAATTATAACATATAATAGTTGAGTCCGAATCAAAGTAAACTGCTGGATAGGGAATGTAAACGAAAGGTAATATAAAGATAGTGTAATAACTCCATTTTTACGAAGCGAACGCGATTGGTTTAATAGAAACATTACCAGTGACTGTTTTACTGCAGTCTTTGTTTATTCCTACTGTGTACGCGCAAACTTTCTATTTGTTTTGCTGCCATTTTGGTTACTCTGTTCGTTTTAACTGCGCCCTCTTTTCTGGCACGATCTCGGTATTCCTTCGATACCATGAAATCGCCAGCAGATATGTTCTCTTGTATGGATTAACTCTTCTCCTCTGTACTTGATTCACGGAGATATTACATTTTGTAACAGGAACGTAATTGGTCTGTAGCGATGATATTAGTCTCAATACAGTAGTAACAGGAATAATCGTTCAGTAATAGACTTAGTTTTCTGAGACATGCAATCAACATACTGCTATAGTCTTCAATGTTTGAAAAAACTTCAGAACTCTACTAATACTAAGATAAATATCACTATACCATCAATAAAAGTTTTATTTTACGACAAAAGATTAATTAAGAAAATCAGTAAGTTATTAAATAATAAAGAATGAACAAAACAGTGGAACAGATCTCCATTTTTAATAAACCACTCATTGGGAGATGATAGATAAAAGACTAATAGATTTCAGTCGTTACGAAAAAACTATACTTCGAAGAGGTTAGTTTCTCCAGATTGACATAATCTTGATACATTTAAAAAAAGTTTCAATTACAAAATATTTATTTCTTTAATAAACCACAATACCCTTTGGTCCGAGAATTATAAAACAATCGGAGTGCTACGAAAAGAGAGGGAAAATTTATGATGTAAAAAAAACCTAACTGACTGACCTTTGACTGACTTTCTTTCCATTCCGCTAAGAATTTAGCCGATTCTGGAGATCGCATTTTCACTAAAACTTCGACTGGTAAGTAAGAGTTGGTTTCCCACAAGCTTAGAACACGGTTAATTTTGGCTTTTTGTTCATCATTAGCAATCTCTGTTGCTAAGCAGAAAATTACTGGCACTGTTTCTTGTAAAGCCTCCTAGAGGTAAGTATTAAAATAAGCGTAACGTATTCATTGGATATGTTTATGAACCAAATTTATTAAAACACAATGGAACTTACAACTAAGAGAAAACTTGTGACCCAGAATTTATTTAAAAGTTTTGTGTGAAGGTTAGTGATACTACTCTGATGTTGACACAAAATGTAAATAGAATTAAGTGGAAACTTGCAAGTTTATATTTCGAAATCAAGTGCTTTACCTAGAAACTACCGTTCTGACTTACTTTTTACCCATAGAAAAAAACAAAGATTTTAAGTAAATACAGAATTCATATACAAACCAACCAACAGTTTTTTTTAAGACAAGGGTTATTCAGTATAGTTGTATGATTAACCGGTTAGTTAAATCAATTTAACAATGGAGGCTTAAAACCTAGAAAAGCATTGTCTTATAGTGTATCTGCATTTTTTCCAACAATATCGATCACGTACGTAGATATTAAGGGATCATGTCTAACTAGTTCCAAAGATCTAACTCAGAAATATTTACTAGCCAGTGAGCCCGATATATAAGTAATTAGATGAAACTATTCTCATAAATCTGTAAGATACTATTGGAAACCTGAGCATGTACTTTAAGGAAGTGAGTAACAAAAGTAATTGATCAACTTTTACCATCATAATACTGTAATCAAACTAATTATCAGACTTTAAGACACGAAAACAATAATCAGTGAAACTGCAACCTCACCACGTGATAGACTGTAGACTTAAATTACAAACTTAAAAAACACTTAGAATCAATTAATTGTGGGAAGAATATTTTAATTCTCTATTAACTGTATGAAAACAAAAGCATAGGAAACAAGCTAAATTTTGTAAATAGCATGCACAATATATATGGTAGAAAAAAAACTAAACGATATACGAATATTAAACAAAGTTCATATTAACGTCATTCCGTAAGCCATTTAAATCTTTTAAGTGTGACGAATAGATGAAAAAGTATTATTTCCTCAAGTAAGTAACTGTTTACCACAACAGTAAATAATAATTTACACTTTTCTTGTGAGGTTTGAAAAGGAATAAATAGCTGTTGACTTGATGTTACAGTGATGTGGTTTAACACTAATCGTAGTTGAGTTGTGTTGTGTTCTATTCTCAACTATATAATGTATCTTGATATTCAGCCTTTTTATCAATTTCCACCTGCCAACTTAAAATGTGTGAGAACTAGAACTAATTCAATATCATTGTACGTAATTCAGTAGTTAAGTTATTCGACTAGTACATTACAGAATTTATAAGGAATGATTAAAATAACTACAAATACGAAAGTTGTCCATAACTATTAACAACAACATACCTGCAGATGAACAGGAACACCACGACGTTTAGAATGATGAAGTAGGTCGTTCAACAAGTACACTAAGTGGAGCCTTAAGTCGAACGAAACATGAACAGCACTTGCGCGCGTTATTAGATAATCAGACATTAATTTAGTTAGTTCAGGTGATTCAGACATTTTATCAACAACCCAAGATTTCCCTTTGGATATATTTTCTTTTGTACAGGCTTCAATCAATGGTTGGATCATCTAAAGGAAAAATATACAAATCTACTATGAATTAAAACATAGTTATCAATAAACTTTCGCTTGCAATTACTTACGACGTTCCAAATATTCAATCACATTCATGTATTCTAATGCAAAAACCTTATATTTAACAAGTTTCGGTGCGATACTACACTCAGCTGACCAGTAGGTGTCTAAAAACGAAACTTTGCAAACCTATTTAAAGGCATATTTTTCGTGAAATTTCAAAACTAAGTCAGAAAATTATGTGAAGTACCATCCGTCATGTAGTATTTATTACGTATGGATGCTTAGCATAAATTATCATAATGAAAAACGACGGTTTGTCATTGCACAACACTCATTTTAACTAAACATACCTAAATTCGATTTTGTTTGTAACAGAATAAGGGAGAAAAAGCAACAAGGAAGCCAATTTGTCTTCACTATTATGATCATTATAGAAAGTTTTTAAATAAGCTTCATCTAATAGTTGGTGTTTCGAATTAACACTATTAACGAAAACAGACCGTTAATATCAGTCACCATATATGAATGACGTTTACCATTTATCACTATGATAGATGCGTTGAAGTATAAATTAACGGTAGAAAAAAGACAGTAATGAGATGTAACGACAACGTAAAATACAAGTGAAGCTTTAGACGAACAAATAGTGACATATCTTGAGCAAAGAGAGTATTAGTAGCTGGCGAGAACGGTAGTTTCTTATAGCTTCGTACTATATTTTGAAACATCCATCCGAAGTATGAATATTTGACACTTACCAATATACTGAGGAGAAAGGAGAATTTTTCCAGAATCAAGGTTGGTAGATAGATGTTTGGAAGCTTATGACAACTGCTCCGACTAGGTTACCAAAAAGAATGACGTTTTTCAGAAGAGCACGTTTTCTTACTACTACTCAACGAGAATAAATACGAACCAAGAAACCACTTTCATGATATACTGGAACATTCAACTGATACGAGATATAAGAAACAGTAATAAAGAGACAAAACAACCCTACCTCTACAACCAAGCACAGTTTTTTAGTTTCAGATTTGAACCACTTGTTTGTGTAAAGACTACAGGCTGTGCAATTCAAAACGGGTGGATGAGGCTTGAACTTTCGACACAATGACGGAAAGAACACTAAACACTAAGTTCCTATTAATGACATGGAAGTTCAATTACAACAATGGTAACGTGCCAGTCATCAGATTTGTTTGTATTTTCAAGCGCTAAAGTAGTGCAAGGGCTCAAAACTATATCCTAACCAAGTTTGATTACTGGGTTACGAAGTTTTCAAGTGTGCTTTATGCGGCACATACATCAAACAGTGTATGCAGTTAGGAAATAATGGCATATCTTAATTATACCATTGAGGACGCTCCAAAATTCAGTATGGATAAAAGATGGACTATGAGTGTAATGATTGATGGAGAAAATATTAAAGTAACTTGGTATAGTTGTTAACAAATTTAGAAATAAACTACAACTATTAACCATAGTCTAACCCAGAATAGGTTCTCATGGTATTTTTTGTGACTCCAAAATAAACTATTTGCTGCTGTTAAAAACTATAATGGTTTGTTTAATGGACTCCAAAAAAGATTACGCTATACATCGTAACCTACCTGTTCGTACAACACTATTTTGTAAAACTCAATTTCCTAAATTTTAATTTGTAATAATATTTTTGAAATTTCCTGTTGATAAGTCTACATGAAAATAAGGGGAAAACAGATTGAGTCCACATACTAAACTTGTCTTATCCAATTATTAAGTCTCTTGAACGTAAAGTAAAATTATACCGACAGTAATAGTAATAATAATAATGAGGATTATTGTGATTCCCGTCCCAGCACTACCATAAGTCAAATAAAGACGTGAAATAGTTCACTAACTTCGTTCATCTGTTCCCAAGAGATGTTTAACTTTTCTCCAGTTTTCCTAACATTTTCTTCTCGCTTCCTATTCAGAAGCTCATAAATTTCAACGTCTTGACGAGCAAGCAGTGATTCATGCTGGGCAGCCAAATTCTTCTCACTTTGTTCAATATCAGCTTCTCCCAAATCAGAACCACTAGAAACTTGATAATCATATTGAGGTCTCGTTGCACGATAAGTTTCAGGTCCAAATGGAAACTGCTGGATTGGGAATGCTCCATGGTGTCCAGGGTAGCCATATGGAGGATGGTTATTGTAATTTCCATGATGAAAAGAATCTACTGCTTCCGAAGGGGGATGGTATGGAGGATATCCAGGTTGACCCCCATGCATTCGTACACCCTGTGGAAAATGTGGCCATTGTGGCTTTGGATACCATGATGGGTCTGGACCAGCCCATCCGCAATGGCCTGGTGGTGCAGAACCGTAACGTTGCCAATGATCTGCATTTCCAACATACTGATCCCACTGTTCATTCATATTAAACCAGTTGGATCTGGAATTGAGAATCTTAACAGAAAGAGAAAACAAAATAAGTCAAATTAACGACAACAAATATTGTAATCAATCATTAGTAAATACCAGTTAGTCTTGCCTAATATATTACTATATATGACCACTCACCACTACCAGAGAACACTTGTATATTTATCATTAGATTGTTAATAAATGTGGTGTATAATTATTGAGTTACAGTTCTCCAAAAACCCATACACTTTAAGGGCTTTGGTTTTCTATTTAGAGACACTGGAGGAAATGAAGATAATTTTATTAAATTAAGAAATGCAGCAAAATTATTTAGTAGCTGGAAGATTTCAGAAATAGACCAGAAAACACTAATATCATTAACAGAAGAGAGAGACGAAGTATACAAACAAGATCCAATAATGATCTTGATGTAAAGTCAAATACTAAAGGTGAATACTTACTAATCCAAGTACCAGAGGACAAGAAAAATACGCTTACCAAAAAATAACTTATTTAAAGCCAAACACATTTAGGTATGATTACCAGGGTTTGGCATAATAACTACAAATAAATTGAGCATCATGTAGATTGCTATTAGTGAAATCATCAATAGATTTTAATATCCTAATAAGAAGATAGATTTTCAAAAGCTTTGCATTAGCTGCCTTTTCAGAACAAATATTTGTAAAATTAAATTATAAAATTAATTCAGACCAGTTAAACTCTGCTCTAGGAGTTAGGTCTTCATTTAGAAGAGTTATGACGTCTCATAGTGAAAGCTGAGATCTTTCGGAAGTCATGAGTCTGATGCCACTTCTGACAACCAGAGCCCTTCCATGGTGTGGGCGGCCTGGAAGTAACATCCACCCTCATACCCATAAAAGCACACGAGACCAATTCGGTCAGAATTAAACCCTCTCTACACCTAATAACTCTCTTATCTCCACGACCAAGCATTCTTTCGATCGTCTGTCACTTTGCGCCGCTGAAGCGAACGGTTTGAGCTCACGAAAGGTTATTCCTAGTGTCTCCTGAAACCAAGCTCCAAACTACATATTTGAGCTTTTAATGTTTGAAACTTGTGACAAATAGGTCAACAGGCTTCTTTAGTTATAACTCTGGAATCCCATGCAATCGATGTATGTTGCGCCTCCGAAACGCACATACAAGATCCGAGTAAAATCATCAATTCGATTTCATCTTGTCCAGAGAGAGAAACAACACGGTTTACGCCTCATGTTTCTGGAAGCCCTGATGCTGCTACCCATGGCCTCGCTGTGTGGGTATAATATTAAATCCTAGAGCAGAACTAGACCTCTTGGACTGGATCCCAGGAAACAGTCGCATATGTGCTGCCCGACTAAACGAGACGGTACGGACTCGGAAAGATAGGGACACTCGCCGTTGCCTCTTCGTCACATCTGCCTACGCTTCCACTGACTGCACTTCAGACGAGATAAAAGATGAGTCCTACAGAAGCCTCTCTAACCTCCTTCAAAATATTAGGCGCTCTGATATAGTAATGATGTCCGGTGACTTTAATGCTGAAGTAGGTAGACTAAGTGGAAAGGAAAGACATGTGGGTGGATCCTATGGTGTCGCAGCTCAAAGAGCAGATAATGGCGGCCGTCTGCTGCAGCTATGCTCTGATAACCGCCTATTTCTAGCAATCACTAACTTTAAGCACAAGGAAAAACATCTTTTGACCTGGCGACCCCCAAAGTCGTCACAACGCTGGACCCAACTAGATTACATTGTCATCAGCCACCGATGGAGAGGTTCGATAGAGGACTTACGCTCGTTCTGGGGCACATGTTTAGATTTAGACCAAGCCTACTGGACGCAGGAAAGACACTACAAGGAAACCTCTAAGGGTTTTACTCCATAATAACAAAGCTAAGAATATATTTAAGGAACAATTAAAAAAACAGTGAGCGGCCATATAGTCAGCGATGCCCATACCAAGACAGCTTGGAATGATATTCGAAGAGCTGTGGAAACAGCAGTGATATCTGCTTGTAAAGTAAACCACAAAGTTGAGGAGAAGCGGTGGATTTCAGTAGCATCTACCGAACAGATGGACGCTCGAGAACACATCCCGCATGGCTTTGAACATGACGAAGAAAGAAGTCAGTTTAAGCACAGGCTGATAAAAAGTTTACGCAATGATCGTGAACAGTGGTGTGTAGCGAAACCGAGAGAGATGCAAAAGGCAACAGCAACAGGCAGCAATAAGCACAGTTCTATTTGGTGAAGACGCTGACAAAATGCAGTCTTTTGACCACCCTAAGCAACAATGCAAGCATGTTAGGGATGCGGTTTCACTGCCCGAAACGCAAATGGTTGCTTCAGGATGGGGTTGCGTCAGCACCTGAACTAGTGATAGGGAGTGAAGTAGTTGAGCGTGTCGACCGCTTCACTTATCTCGGCAGTCTCATCAGTGCTAATGGCCTAGTGTGTGACAAAATCTCAGCACAGATACAGAAGACTCGATTGGCTTTTGCCAACTTGCGTCATTTATGGCATAGGCGAGATACCCATCTGCTAACCAAAGAACAAGTGCACTGCGCAGTAGTTCGCTCCGTCCTTCTATATGGATGTGAAACATAGCCAGTAAGAGCTGAGGATATTCGTAGGTTATTAGTATTCCATTATAAATGTCTTCGAAGCATTGCTCGTGTATCCTGATACAACCAATTAGCAGTGATATCGTTAGGAAACGAGTACTAGTTATGGATGACAAATCCAGAAATACAGTAATGAAACTTCGTCAGTTGTTGTGGTTGGGACGTGTGTTACGTATTCTCAACAGCCGACTGACTTGACGAACAATGTTTTGTAGTGTTTGAATAGGTTGGAAGAAAGCTAGGGGAGGCGAAACCAAAACACGGCACAAGCCCATGAAGTCACTGACAAGTGGACTGAGTCATATTAGTAGATATAGACTACTTAGTTGGGGTCCGTGAGACGATAGTAATCGATGGTTTACGAGACCTTGAGCGACATGGCTCAAAATCGTTCGCAATGGCGCAGGTGCATCCATCGTTTGTGTTTTCAGAAATTCTGTTCTCCTGAATTTCTCATCACCTTATCTTCCTCTCTCTAAATTTATGTCACTGAGTCATACTTTTTGAATCATATCATCGAACCCTAATCTCTCCGATTACTGCAAATACATCTATTACCTCTACTAATATGGGATTCGAAGTGACAATTGCATCTGTGTTGATGTGGTATGGCAACTTGAACTGATACACGTACGTACGAAGTTGTATGTTGTTGTTGACTTGACTGGCTGACTTTAAATCTGAATACTTGTCTGTGCACTTACGAACTAGTCTGTGTCGTGACCTAACTTACATACCTAGTGTCTGTTGAGTTGTTCTCATTATGAGCTAAAACCAAAAAACTAAGTCGAGATTATGAGCCGCTGTGTAGACCTGATGCTTTGGAATTGGTTGTGAAGATCAAAAACAGAAGTGGGATTAAATGATTCTCGTGAATTATACATTATTTAGTACTGATGACAATATTTAGCCCAGTGAATGCCCAAAAACTAGACTACAAGCCAAGACTTTTGGAGATGAGCGGGGACACTAATTTATCCCTTAATGAAACAGTTCAGATATCTTTTAGCTTTTGAGTTGCACAAACTAGATAAGAGAGAGTGAACTCATTAATGATACAATTTGGGTTTGGTGCGATAAGTTGACCTGGAACACAGCTAAGTCCAAGTCCGAAAAACCCTCTCCAAGCGAAAGGAAAAGCAAACGTTTAAACCCAATTTCACGATAGATTGTTTCGAGGAAACGATGAAAATGACAAGCCTACTGCATACAAAACTCCCCGACTAGGTACATGTATTACAAACCATATAAAGCCTGATATAAAATTATCAAAAAGTATTAATCCAACCTGATTAGATTTATTTTTCGTTGCATATTGTTGCTGCCAAATTTTACGAGCTTCGTTAACTCTATACATATAATATTCATGGAACTCGCCACCTCGGAGAAATGCGAACTTTGGGTTGTCCCTCTGTTTTTCACTCGTCAGTGCTTCGAATTCTGGCCCATTTCTGGCCACAAATTCGGCCAATTTATCGATAATGTTCTGCTGTTCAGTATCGACTGGAGGCAGAGGCGATGCCATTTAGCTGCCAAGAGAACAAATCTTAAAATATTATTAACTAGGCCTAGCTTTGCAATTCAGTCACACACATCTCTTTAAAAAGGTTTTGTGTTTGTTTGCTGGCAGGAAAAAAACTAACACATATGCTGTGTGTTGGAACACAGTCACACAAAACTAACTTCCAAAGACACGTAAGCGCTTTTAATTCCCGCCGCAAATTTGTTAAAGGAACAACAAAATATTTACAAGAGCTTGGTTTTAAATGTTATTGGGTCTTTCGTAGTTATTGATAAGAACTAGGAAATTTTCTTGGGGATTACTTCTCACTTCCCAGTCAGCATTTAGAGAAACTTTATTTCTCGCTAAATTCCAACTTGACTGAACCCACAAAGTTTATTTGCATAAAAACGTTTTGAACATTTAAAAGGTAGATTTTTCGACATATGTCTAAGTTCGTGATTGAAAACCAAAGCAATGGAGACATCACGCTTGGGGGAGCGTAGTACCAAATTCCAAATGTTGTTACATGTTACCCAAAATGAACGATCAAAGCCTAAAAATAGTTTTGTGCTCAATATTCCTGCCCTTAAAGTAGTTTCCGGGCCCAATTTACGTAAAAACTGAGGCACTGTCTCAGCGTTCGGTCTCTAATAATAACGGTAAAGATAATGCTTATATATTGTTTCTTATTTATCAGTTATGAGAGGTATGCCAGATTATGAGCAAGATAAAAATACTAGAAGACAAATAACCTTCACAAGAGGTAAGTAACGAGGTGAATTCACGATAAAATTTGGGACACAAGTTTAGAAATGTAAAAGTAATAGAACCAAGGTAATATATGTTGCATCTTGAAAAAACCATTCTCGGATGAAAAACTGAAGGCTGAGTATAAATGCAAATCAATTAGAGGGATTTTAAGAACAAGAAATATAGTGATCATTCTATAGTTGCCGACGTACAAATGTGAAGGCCGATATAATACTTGGTGCTTCCTTTTAGTATCCTCGAGACGGACGTGACAGACTGCTAGCTGAAAGCAATGTACACACTTTTTTATTATTATAAATATTTTAAAACATGTATGAAGGAGATGCATGTACTAAAGATGTATCTAATTCTTAGTCTCAATGAATAAAAATAAATCGACTAATAATATTAGAGTAAAACGCCAACCATTTAGGAATCCAATCGGTTTTCCCTCTATACTCTTTAATCTAACAGCAAATCAAGGAATTGTTTCAGTAATAAAAACACGATTAATTCTCGATAGCGATTCATTTGTTAATATCACCACTATTGTTTGGTATGCATCTGTTTATTAGTATTTTTGTCATAAAATGCCATTTCCTAGTTTGGGAAGTTGTACTAATTTACACAAAATCAGCTAAAACATTGAGGTTTACATGTATATATACACCAAGATGAACAGAAATGACTCAATTGTCGGCACGCTTGCAAGATAAACTTCATGGATTCTATTTAGCGGGAAATATTTCCTTGTCGAATACGATTTGATTGTCATTACGGTACTAAAATATGGCTTCATAGATTATCTGAATTGTCTGTGAATTTTATAGCTTTTTTCATGAGTTCACTTTCACATGTTAGAACGCTATTCATGGTAATAGAAGTATGTATTAAGCTTGCTTAACAGAAATTTGGATTGTGCTTCTGACCATTTTATCGCATATAAAATGAACATATAATAATCTAGTGGTATAAAAATCTGAACAGACTGTTTGAATGAAACTACAAACTAAAGTTTTTCCTATGAATGTAAATCAAATCATACTACTCAGTAGTAAAAAAATTAGATAAAGGAGGAAACATGAAAGAGCAGAATCCTTTTATGAATATGCGAATTTAAATCTCGTTAGATTAAAATCAGTACGTAAAACAAATCCGGTCCCAGACTTTAGGCTGATGAACTAATCTATTCTTCATGAGTCCTTATCCACACGTCTTTCTGTTTTGTCGACTATTCACTCATTACCGTGGCTGCATTAATAATACTACTCATATGCATTGTTTACTTCGTTAGTCACGTTTATTACATTTTCGTCTGAGTTTATATACTTAGTCATCCCTCTGAGTTGGTTCACTCAACTTCTCTACCTTGTTAACCTCTTACAGCTCGTATCCTCATTTCTGTCTGAATTAAGGAATGCACGGAATAAACTCGTCCAGCTGAATCCGTTTTACTGACCAAATTGCTACATTACGGATCATTGTGGAACAATCAATTGAATGGAACTCACCACTCTACATCAACTTCATCGACTACGAGAAAGCATTTGATAGCGTGGATAGGAAAACACTTTGGAGGCTTCTTCGAAACGACGCTGTGTCTGAACATCCAATCAAAGATTTATTTCGTATCATATTTCGTTATCCGACAGTCGTGTTTTTCATTTAAATTACTTTCATTCTTTTTACGAAATTTCTGAAGGGAACCTATTCACTTCAACTCTTAACCGACGTTTCGCGTGTAAAAGGATTTCTTGCTTGGGGAAAAATTGACTCAAAATTATGAACATAAATAAAACAACAGTATAATAACAAACATAATAATTTTTCGAATAGTAACATGGTACAAGAGGCATGCCAATTTACAGGAAAGATCAAAATGCTAAAATTGCTAACGAATTTTCTACGAAAGTTTGTTCAGTTGCATAAATTTTTGACAAGATGCATTGACTTCTTACAGATAGCTTAACTTTTTCATATAAAATTATAGGCAGTGTTTCAGATTCTGCAATGTACAAAACCATAGTTGGCATGATCGGAAAGTGATGCAAGGTTAATCCAGGTCTGCATATAACAAGAATTGATGAGGTAAATGTTGAGATTCGTCAGATAATAAATTTACAGGCTCCTGATTAAAATGAACAAGTCTTCTTCAATATCAAGGCGAATATTAAAAGAAGATAATGGGGTGATGAAAAAGAGAAAGATGAGAGGAGCAGAACAGAAAATACTCCTGTTGGAAGCTGAGTCATGGCTCAGCAGATAATTTTCTGGATAAAACAAAGGTATGATTACTCAGACATTCCTTTTTCTGTATTAGAAAACTAACTGTACAGCTGCATTTGTGTAAGGCAATGAAGACAAGTCACCAAATAAGTTACTTTCTGACTAACCATACGGAACCGCAAGTGCATAGAGTGCCTCAGTTTACTGAAATCGGAGGATTGATGGCTATTGTCAAGGGTCCTGATCAATAAGGCTACTCATTCTTTTCTGTGATGTTATGCTCCTGCATGGTTTCACGTTTTATCTTAAGCTGTAAGTTTTATGCCTTGGCTGTCATTTTAGAGTGCTGTTTTGTGACTCTCCCAAAGACATTTCTATGGGGTATAAATAAACGCGATTTTTGTGCTTGGATTGACTGTGTGCTGGCTGGATGTTTGTAGAATAACCTTTTTTACGCTATATCAAGACTTCTTGCTGGTACAATTAGGTCATGGCATCACAGTAGCCCACCTGGACTCTGGTTCATTGTTTTGTTCTCGTTATTCGACTAAGGTGACTCCGTAATAGTTTTAAGCATACCTAGAGACGAGTATAACAATTGGCAACGGCAGTTGAGAGGGTGTTTTATATATAGACATGTTGCTTTCGGTAATTTGATATTTTTACTACGCCCTTTAACGTCATACTTTTAATACCTAAAAAATATTATATTAACTAGTACCACTGGACGTTCTTCTTCTCTCAAATTAAATTCGAAAGAATATTCTTCATTTAGCATAAATCCCATTAATAAATACCTTTTAAACTATACCACGGAAATCTAAAAAGCACCCAATCTCATCGGACATCTGTGTAAAATCCTTTTTGAATGTTTTGTTTTTTGGAAAATCCCTCCATGATTACATATTCTTGTTATGATATGACGGACTTTTTCTGTTGACATTTTTGGTATTTTATTTGATTCCAATTTGAGATTTTATCATTGTATATTGTTATTCTTTCTATATTTTGTACTTATATTGAAGCTTCTGACTGTATATATGTTGTTTAAATTTGATCTTTAATATGGCTACAGCCATATTTGGATTGATGCAGTGGCCGCTGAACTTAGCGTCACTTATCTATCGCTGTTTCTGATACTCTTCGGAGTAATTGTATCCTGGAAGGAGCATTAATTCCAGGTAATGCTTTGTATTTCCATGTCTATATTAAATAAGACCGCTTTCTCCTAGAATTTTTGTCCTTTTTTGATTTGTTTGGACCTGGGACTGGGAGAATCGAGTACAGGAGTGCACCTATTGGAACCCATTGGAACGGCCACTGTAGAAATCCATTTACACTCGATAACATCTGTAAAAGATACAAGTCCGCCACTGAAGTTGATAAAATATTCTCAGACAAAAACATTAAATAATCTGTATCATTCCCTAACCTTTCTACAAACACACTAGACTTGTAACCGACCAAACATTTAGTGATCCAATAACACTCTCTGCTTCTTGAGATTAGTCTGAAACATATATACATTACGAATAACTATTATAAAGTGTGGCTGTCCTCAAACCCTGAAAAATTCCACAAGTACACATCTTAGCAACTCAAAGAATGTCATTAAGTCTGTCCACAATGGAAAATCCAATGATGTACATCTGGATAATTCAGTTAAAGATATATTCATTGCCTTAGCTGATTATACTCGGAATGTGCATCCAATAACCACCTACAACAAGTCTCTACGCAATCGCAATTAAACCCTAATACTTTCCTTTTCGACAATTTTAAGAATAGTCCAAGTGAGCTCAACATTACCCAAACAATTCGCAATTAGTTACTGTGGCGACGGACACTCGCATTTTCCTGACGACCGTTAATACAGAGAGTGAGTCGTTGCTACAATTGCTCTATTATTAAATTTATATTAAGACAAGGCTAATCATACTTGCGCTTACAGGCTCAACGATGTTAAAAGTACAAAATGTGTGTGAGCTGCTACACCAAGCAAATACTTGAACAGCGTTCCAGAAAATCCAACTTGCTGGGGTGTCCACCTAGTGTTATTAAATTTCACTCAAGTCAAAATATGTTACTCCATCTCTGGTCTTCTAACCAAATTTCCTAAAATTTTATACTGATCGACCCTAACGTTTTACTGCTTCCAGCCTATTACAGCGTAATTCAAACCTTCCTAAATCCATCCTCTACGTACGCTGATGTGACGAACAATGGTATTTTCTTCGTAGAAGCGTTCGACTACGGAAGCCCCCCTTAGAAAGGGTTTACACTTTTGATACGCAGATGCTTCGTGGAGGGAGGGGCTGGTCGGCCAACGAGCGATTGTAGTGCGAAAGGGTTGACGAATAGGGAGCGACCAATGAAGCTTGAGTTCTCACCGACAGTCTTCTAAGTTGAACTGTACCAGTTGTAACGTGACAGGTTTGCTGCTGGAGTTGGCGTGCCACACCAGAGTGGCTCGTATTCAGAGTCTGAGGATTGCGTTCCTAGGCGTTCGGACCAGAAAACGCCGCACACTTAGGACGGAACCATATTGAGCGAAGGAGCCAGAAACGACCAGAATGACCAAGTTCGAAACCGAACAAATGCCAGATGTATTCGGAAACAGGATACTGACTGAGTTCAGTGACAGTAGTGTGGGCGATTAGGCCAGGTTTCTGCAAGACTGGCTGAAGTCGACGGTACCAACAGGGCAATGGTTGAAGACGTGGGCTCAGAATAAAATGTGAAAGGAAAAGAGAAAGTTGTAGCATATATGTGGTATGAAGATAAGGTCCTATGCCGTATCCGTTTTTGATTCGGAGGTTAGAAGAGAAAGCGTACAGGTAGGCGTACGCGGCGATCGGAACGAGGGACGGTAGTATCGTGAGTACTTCGTGAGCCTGCAATCTCGTTCTAAGTCAAGGGCGGTGTGTTCTGCTGATCTGGACGTGAGACCGGAGTCTCATCCGTAGACAGAGCAGATGACGAGTGCTGTTGACTGGGACGTGAGAATGAGGTCTCTGGGTCAGCTAGCATGGGATCAGAAGGAGGAATAAGAATCCCGCTAGTGAGATGAACGAGTCCAGCATTGAATCTTTATTTATAGGATAGGGCACTATCATTGTCGTGTGCTGGTATGAGATGATCAATGTTGATTGTGTCCATCAACCTTGAACGTCTTTTCTTGACGAGAGATCACACGAAAACATCCTTCGTAAGGTTGTTGAGTACCGAATCTACACATGGGCAGGTATATAACTCCTGAGGGAGAGCGAACTCTCGATGCTATATTTGAGTTCACACCGGAGACAGTGTTCGCATCTAAGCAGATACTTGTTGGACGTTATCTGATATGAATAGAATTGCTGTTCCGTGGTGTGAAAAAATTCACCAGGCAGATTTAATGTCGTGCCGTATACAAGCTCGAAGGCAGAAAAGTGGATATCTGTCGTTGCTACTCCGTAATCGCTGTGTCGTTTTCAACCGATGACATCATTTTTGAGAACCGAATGGAGAGAGGAGGCGTAAGGAATGTGAGATAGACGAAGTAACACATATAGCAAGTAAACTCACGCTTAGTAAAAGCTGATTTGTCCAGTGCCAGTTGGCGAGGTTTTGCCGTGACTGGGGGTCTGCAAGTGACGATATGGCTCACCGCATAATTAATCACCGATGGCATCCCCTCGGTTTCATTACTTTGGGGAATTCATCAAATATAACATAAAATAAATAATAGTTCAAAATATATTTTGGTGATTCGGTACATATCTATTTGCGCGTTAGAACCCATGGATCTGATTTTCGACGAAGCATCGATTAACTGCAGCCTGCGTTAATCGAATAGTGATTCGTAGAGCCGTAGGAATTAGATACCGAGTACAGCTGTAGGAAAATCAATAGGGATGAACGACCATGGATAATGTCGTCGATTATTCAGGTTGATCGTTAGCTGTCGTGTGCCGTTTGTAGGAATGACAGAGCCATTCGCAGCGCGTGGTCGAAGCATCATAGCTTGTTACTTGCTGCTATCAAACGATACGACAGAAACTTAGGCACCTGTGGCTACCAAGTACCTAGCGTGCAAAGGTCGTGCACGTAAAATAAACTGACAACCTGAAGTGACGGTCAGGAGACAGATGAAAGTGCATCGACCTGCAACTCGAAGCCTATTATTATAGATATCCACGTTGCTGCAAGTGTAATTTGTATTAAATGACATTATTAATAGTATTGTAACATTATAAAATGGTGATAGATGAATAATAGATTCACTGTAATTGACTTCGAACAAAAACGTCAGCTCACCAATTTTAGTGGTGACCGAGTGAAGATTGGCTATGATCATTACTAAATGCTAATTAATATCCCTTAACCATAATTAGAAATAAGTCCAAGGTAAAAAATATATTTGAAGTAGAAAGTAGGCGTTACAGAGAGCACCAAGTTATGAAGGATGGCAGCAACGCAAAAAAAAAACATTACGCGCAAGTAAGTGTTTTTAGTACAATGAAACATAATCAATGTTTTCTTTTCATCAATTGCGTTTTATTCGTAGGAGTGTTCCATCCTTATTCTCTGAAATAACAACCATATCTCTTCTTCGGAGTTCATCGGTTAATTTTGAACAACCATATCTATCATATTTTATCTGACATGCTTCTTTCGCCCAACCAATCTCCAAATACCCCCTTCCTACTAGCTCTATTGATCACAAACCAGATGAATATAGAAATAAAACATGCACTTCTCAATTAATCCGAAACAACAACTACTTGTTTTAAACACGGAATATGATAACATTAACTAAAAACTCTTCCAATTTATAGTTGAACACTCCGACTAGATTGTGTTCGTTACTAGTGATGAAATTTCTGTAGCAATCCGTATATTTAGTGTCACCATCGAATTTTCCATAGAAATCACTATCCTCTTAATCCCCTTTCGAAGCAGCGACTCATCATAACAATCGAAAATCCAGGGCTAAACTTTGTAAACTAGGAGGCCATATCTTATGCCGAAAGACTTCACTGTTCCACACTAAATGTGATCGAAATGAAAAGCATAAACATTTAGAGAGATATAATGCACTGGTTACTACATTAAAATCCCAAAACCCCAGTCATCTGCTCGAAAAACTCATAAAAACAAACGCAGATTGCAATAATAATTCTATGCTGCACCATGTGGGGGGGGTACCTACTACGACCACACTATTTTCCGTTAGCTATTAAGTAAATAACGCCTTCTCAACCAAGACATATCTCTTACCTAAGATGTTTATTCTACCTATATCAGGCAGAATAATCTAAATACCACTAACTTTGATCTGAATAATATTTTCCTCAAACCCAATGCTGATAACACACCACTGAAAAATAGTAGGACCAAATATACGAACACTTACTCAAAATATGTTATGTTATCCTTAGAGGCTAGTACACATTCCAGTGTCAGTAAAGTAACCAAAGGGATTCCGAAACGCATATCAGGGTCGAAAAACCTATTCAACAACTAGCGACAAATTATTATCACTCCTGTTATTTCACGGGTAGTAGGGAAAGTGACAAAAGATCAACTATCTGATTACTTACCCAGGCAAGGTTTTATTGACCCCTTACAACACGGCTTCATCAGTTCCAGGTGATGCACTACATATCTGATTAGTTTCCTTCATGAAGCTACCTGCTCACGCAATCAAAATCAACAAGAGATCTTATTGCAGTATGGTGTCAAGAAAGCTTTCGATAAGTTACCGCATAATCTCTTAGTTCACGGATTTCAGTCCTTCGAGGTCGCCGACAACCCAATGCGATGAATTAGGTATTTTCTTACAAACAGATACCAAATTACTAAAATCACCTTTACGACATCTCTTCTCGACTTATAACTAGTGGTATTGGGCGGGAAGGTGTCTTGGGTTCACTACTTTGCATAATATATACTAAGAGCATATTCAGCTACCTTAGAACAAGAAAAAACCTACCTCCACGCTGGTGAATTAAAAGTCGGCTACAAAACTGACACATGTGACGTGAGAAGTCTAACGGTAACGATCCAGAATAAGCTCAGTACTGTAGATAACTGGTGTAGCCGTTGGGCCTTATTACTCCATACTAAGAAATATGACTGACTGTGCTTCGGAGACACAAAATATGTCTCACACTCAGCAAGAATGTAGAGCCTAAACTTGCATCAGTAAGGGACTTCCGGGTGCATTACTTTCAAAGCCGGAACTTTTCTGAACATATTTCCACCAGTGTCACAAATGAACGATTTGCTAGGTTTTATTTCTTGAAGTCAACAGTGGTCTAAATATTTTGCTGTTCTGAGAAACTTATGTATCCATATCCGTTGCTGAGAATCAGGTTAAAAAATGGTTGTCATTTTTAATAAAGTCATGAAATTTTATAGACTTGCTTCGGGAGACAGGAGAAAAAACAATAAGTAACAAATTTCAGTTTTTAAGGAGAGATCTTACGTTTCCGGGATTTTTCAAAGCGATAAAAGCTTCATAATGAATCGAAAATTCGGTTTGGAACATTTAACGAGTGAGCTTATAATGACTAGGTCGAAAGTGCGGGATTGTCTGGCTAAGGGAGGCTGGGCACATTGTTGTGTTTCTTATCATCTCCAAGGATTTTGAGCTCCTTAGCCCGTAAGACTCACTTTTAAAAAGCCTTGAAAATTATTTAGGGGAATCCAATCTTTTTTATTCAGGCTCCAGTCATACTGAGTTTAAGCTTGAAATATGACTGACGTTTCGTCCTTTGTTGTCTTAGGAATGTAATGCTGAAACCTCGTTGAGAATTTCGAAGTAGCAACTCAGTCCAGAAAGGTTAGACATCTGTAGTAGACTATACGGTCCATCCAGTCGCTCATTATTCCTGGCCTAGGCACTTTAGAAATACAGTAAACAGTTTATTTTAGACAAACAACTCTACATATACCAACCATGAGTAGTTTGAGGATGAAGACTAAATACCCGAACAAAACAACAACAACGAATAATAGCATATTCGTTTGGTGTTCCCAAAGATACCAGGAGTTAAAGTTCTGTTGTTTTTGAGACTACTTGGCTAAGTTGTCTGTTCATCAACCTGGAGAATACAAACAGTAGGATGGTTTCCAATGGATTTCAACTTCCTACCGAACTTTAAGCGCATGTAATCTATTTGAAGCAAGGTATGCATCTAAGCTGTAGGAATCTTTTTGGGATGTGGTCCAAAATTATCAGTTGTTCTTACTGAAATATTGGTTGTATTGTAATTTCATATTACTATTATCAATCAGTGATCATCCCATAATGGTAACTTAGTGATTTAATGGTTTGGTTTCCTATCATTAGGCTTCAAGTTTAAACTGGTTTATTTTTGTTTGGCTAGCTGTTGTCTCACTAAGGTACAGACTAAAGCAAATTTGTTGATGGTTAGTGAGTTGTGTCAAGTCAACTGTTGGTCATACCAATTCACAAAGGCCTCCAGATGATCAAGGCTGCCGATAATTTACGGGTTTTAGCTTTGACTAGAGAAGTTCCACTGACTTCCCTCTCATCAGAAAGTTATTGTTTACTGAGGTGTAGAGACAAACGGGCGTCTGGCGCCTAGATCCACCCGCGAAAGCAAAAAAAACTTGATTCTAGACAAAGAGTATACATGGGTTCAAAGATCCTAAGGGACTGAATGACGTACGAACTTATTTTTTGCCACCAGCTACCGTAAACCTGAAGTTAATTCACTGCCTTGTGTGCTAGATCTTTATGTTAAATGCTCGGCAAATAGCTCTAAGAAAACTACCTGCTTCACTTTGGGTCTGCAAACAGTGTCCTAACTCACTTACAAATGAGGAGAGGATTGGTAATAATGGGAATGTTTCCTCTCACCATCGCTGTTTATATGAAAAATAGTTACTATCTCCTGATTAAATACATATTTATTTAGCACTTTACGATTTTTATTCCCGTTCTCTCTGCTTTTATTTATCAACCCACGTCGCAGCACGTCTGTAAAGTCCTGTCCTTTCAAATCTGTAGATTCCTTCAGGTGGCGAAATTCCGGACGTAGCTAATATAAAACCACGTATTCCGTCTAAACTCGCCACCGGTGTTAACATATTGATGAAGACCTAACAGCAGATCGGTCAGGCTGTACCTGGAAAGTTTTTAACTTCAATGTTTGCTGTTTATCTGAGACCTGTAGTGAAGGCTCTAGTAAAGTGCTAGAGGTTTGTTCCGCCGATTCGAAAGTTTACTCTGTATGTACTGTACGGCAATTCAATTTCACCATCCGTCTTAGTTGGTGTTGGTCCACTCCGCAAAATCACCGATCTAATGATGGACGTTGATATTTATGTAGAGGTTACTCTAAGTCTGCATAAAAACCGGTAAAGCTAGTGCTTAGAACGTGCTAGCTATCTGGTAACAACTGGGCAAGGCGATTGCCGGAAGTTATTTCAGCTCATCCAAACCACTGGCAACAGGTCTGGTGTGAGCAAAAGTCGGCTTAGTGGATCATCACTTAGTAAAATCCATAGGCAGAGTTTTCAGATGGTTTTTCGCTTTCCTACGTTCCACATCTAAGTTATACAAATCCAGTAAACGAGCTTGAGGTCCGACAGAAACCACAACTTCTGGACGTCATGAATCACAACTCAGGTCGCTAACTTCTGGCTAGGTAACTGACTGAATCGTCTGCAAATGCTTGGGACTAGAGTGTCCTAACATCCTGAATGGAGCGAAAGTCATCCCTGTTTTTAGAAAGCCTTCACGTCACCTGTACAGCAACTCTCAGTGAATAATCCTACTTCCAATTCCGTCCAAACTATTTGTTTCCGTCATACTTCGCAGATTGTTTAGAACCTATGAGGAACTGATTAACGACTAGCAGTCTGGTTTTCGTTCTGATCGAGAGTGTACTGACCATATCTCTACCTTCCGCCAAATGTAAAAGCATGGCCATACTTATTATAGACCAATAACCAGTGTTGCTTGACATCAGGATTACCTTCATTTTGTTGGACAAGGTTTCTCTCTGAGTCTTGAAAAATTGTGTGACCGAGAATTTTATTAACATCTTAAAGGCTCTTTATACAACCATTTCTACTCATTGTTCTGTTTCGGGTAGTTAAGTTATTCAAGTTTGCCTGATGTCACCATTCCTTTTTAATTTCGATCTTCGTGTTATTCCTCGTCTTTCAATCTATTCGATCCTCTTAAACCACATTTGTTATATTCGGTTTTTCGTGGCGAATGGTTGTTACTCAAACTCATTTGCTGTTTATCTCGTAATGTTAAAAGTTTCGATAGCTTTGAGAGATAGCTGTGCCCTGAGAACGCATGTTCGAATTGTCACGGAACTAAAATTCCATACTTATAGCTCATTTCTGTTTCACATACTGGGAATTTCGGTATATTTTTCCTCACGTAATTATTTCGACACATTTTGATTTAAATATTGTGGATTAGTATTCGCAATAAAATTAATGATTCTTTGGTATCGGATAACCTTTAGTTACCAATATTCCAAACTATGCCGCTGTTTGGTAAGCCGAAAAACCCTCGTGAATTAATACAAACTGTTAATGAGAACATAATAGTAAGTTTGAGTTTATTATTTACGAAGTTGTAAGATTCTAAGTGGCAGTGCCAAAACCGATAAAGAACGGAAAAAAGCTGTGGAAGATATCGCAAGGGCTTTGACTGCTCTTCGGGAGCTGCTAACGGATAAGTCAGATACTCGGTTGACTGGCAAAGAACGTGATTCAGAACTATCGAACTCTGAACGAGCACGAATCAACGAAATTATAACAGATGTGACTCATGAAATCATCAACCTCAATCTTTTGCCGCTTCTTGTAAACAATTTGGATGCTATCGAGTTTGAGGTATGTGTTCTTCTGTTCATTATATTTGATTTATTTAGAGTTCAAAACATATCGTTGATCTCTTTGGCCATATTATGAGGCGACAAGTGGGATCTTACAATCCGGCAGCTCAGTATCTTCTGGCTAATTCACATATTTTAATATCTATTCTTCAAGGATACTCTAAACCTGACACTGCTATACACTATGGCGCCGTAAGTCTCACCTCTAGATTCTTAAAATACTGGTTTACAAATTCTGTTCACACCGGTGATGTTTTATGAAATCTCTCTACTTGAAAGCACCGACGTTCGATCAACTATTCTAACACTGCATGACACCAGATTTGAATTGACGATTTCATCTCTGTGTGCTAATGTAGTATGGCAACTTGAACTATTGTACATCAGTACTTTTTTCTACGTTGTAACTGACTGACTGATTCGTACACCAAAATATGGCTTAACCCCAATACTCAGATCTGTGTGTTCATGGAGTTACATATTCCCGGACATGCATCTAACTGCTCCACTGATTCACATCAACAGTTATTGGCTTTGTCACGTGAAAGATAAAAATTACGATTCAGCAGACAGGAAAACTGAGGCTGAATAAATAAAAAAAGGAAACATAAACAACCTAGACAAAATGTTTATCGGCTTCAGCAGTCAGTCAATTACAACGTAGAACTTCATAAGTAAGTACATAAGTCCAGGTTGCCATATCGCATTAGCACAGACACGCAACTGTCATTTCGGGTCCCATAGTGGTAGAGATAATGAAAGTATTAGCGGTAATCGGAGACATTAGGGTTTGAAGCCATGTCGTTCAGCGTCTCTAACCATCGAATACTATCATCATTTGTCATCCCTACCAAATAATCGTTTCCTAAAGACATCACTGCTAATTGGTTGTATCAGGATACACGAGCAATGCTTCGAAGACATTTATAATGGAATACTAATAACCTACGAATATCCTCAACTCTTACTGGCTATGTTTCACATCCATATAGAAGGACGGAGCGAACTACTGCGCAGTGCACTTGTTCTTTGGTTAGCAGATGGGTATCTCGCCTATGCCATAAATGACGCAAGTTGGCAAAAGCCAATCGAGTCTTCTGTATCTGTGCTGAGATTTTGTCACACACTAGGCCATTAGCACTGATGAGACTGCCGAGATAAGTGAAGCGGTCGACACGCTCAACTACTTCACTCCCTATCACTAGTTCAGGTGCTGACGCAACCCCATCCTGAAGCAACCATTTGCGTTTCGGGCAGTGAAACCGCATCCCTAACATGCTTGCATTGTTGCTTAGGGTGGTCAAAAGACTGCATTTTGTCAGCGTCTTCACCAGGTGGAACTATGTGATTGGCATATTCTAAGTTAACTAGTGAATCTCCTGGTAGAAGGTCCACTTCTGAAAAGTCAGACGAGGATAAGGTTATTTCTAAGAGCATGTCTATGATAAAATTAAACAAGAATGGAGAGAGTGGACATCCCTGACGGACACCACTTGAAGTAAAGAATTCTGGTGACAGTTCGCCATAAGCTCTCGCCCGATCTGTAGTGTTTGAGTAGAGAGCTTGTATAAGGTTAATGTAATTCGTTGGTACACCTTACAATGACAGACACTGCCACAGAACCTCACGCATAACGGAGTCAAATGCTACTTCGTGGTTCAGGAAGAAAACTATTGTTGGATGCTTAAATATGTGTCTGTATTCCCGGACCTGTCGTAGTGTGAAGATGTGGTCAATACACCCACGCCCAGGTCTAAAATTAGCCTGGTTTTCTCGAGTCTGCTCTTCACGAGCTCTAGTATAATCAAGGCCAACAATTTAGAAACTATATCAGTTAGACTTATTTCCCTGTGACTGTCACAAGAAGACAATTGTCCTTTCTTATAAATTGCAACAATCAAGAATTGAAACCAGTCAGATAGGATTGTGTCCAGCTCCCAGATTCTACCTAAGATCTCGGTCAACCTAGCTGCTAAAATTGGACCACCATCCTTAAAAATCCCAAGGGTCAAACTATCGGGTCCTGCTGCTCTCCCTCGCTTCAGATTTCCTATAGCCTTTTCAACTTCATAAAGACTCAGAGGACTTATATCGATGTACGATTCAAGATGACTGGAGATCATAGGTAACTGAAGGCCAGCTGAACTCGTCCGTGAAGTGTTGTGCCTATCGATCCAATCTCCTGGATTGAGAATGAATAATAGGACCATCCTTTTCCGAAATAGTCTCACTCACATTCGGATTCCTATTACCAGTTTCCTTGAAAGTCGGAACAACTGTTTAATGTTATCTATTGCCTCTGCCTTTTCCCTCGCTCTCGCTATCTACCACTGTACGCGATCATTGCGTAGGCTTTTTATTGGCCTGCGCTTAAGCTGTCTTCACCCTTCGTCATGTTCAGCGCCAGGTGGAATGCGTTTACGAGCGTCTATCAGTTTGGTGGATGCTCCTCAGATCCACGGCTTCTTTCATCAGTCATATTATACGTCGAAAAATGAACCAAAATTTACCAGATAAAATATAAAGTTTGGATATAGTAATAACATTGGAGAACTGAAATTTCGAACATAGTCAGTCAGTCAGTCAGTCAGTCAGATGCAACGTAGAACTTCGTACGTAAGTACATCAGTTCATGTCGCCATACCACATCAACACAGAGATGTAATTGTCAATTCAAATCCAATAGTACAAGAGGTAGTAAAGGTATTAGAAGTAATCGGAGAGGTTAGGATTAGAAGATATTATTCATGAAGTATGATTAAATGAGATAAGTTTAGAAAGTAAAAACTAGAGGTGTTGAAGAATGCAGAAGATTAGGATTTGAGAGAACACAAAGAATAAATGCACTGGCGCCATTGCGAACGATTTTGAGCCATGTCATTCAAGGTCTCTAGCCATCGATTATTATCATCTCGCGGACCCCAACCAGGTAGTCGACAATTACCGACATGGCTAAGTCCACTAGTCAATGACTTCATGGATTTCTGCCATGTTTTGGTCTGGCCTCCCCTAGCTTTCTTCCAACCTATTCCTACACTACAAAACAAAGCTCGACGAGGCAGTCGGTGGATGGGCATACGCAACACATGTCCCAACCACCTCAACTGATGAAGTTTCACCACTTCATCTATTGATCTGCCATTTTTACCTAGCACCCGTTTCCTAATAACAGCGTTGCTCACTCGGGTGTCCCACGATATACGAGCAATGCTTCGAAGACATCTATGATCGAAAACCAATAACCGACGAGTATCTTCTACTCTCATTGGCCATGTTTCACAGCCATAAAGTAAGACGGAGCGAATTACTGCGCAGTACACTCGTCCTTTAGTCAGCAAACGGATATCTCGCCTACGCCATAAGTGACGCAGGTTGGCAAAAGCCAATCGAGCCTTCTGTATCCGTGCCGAGATTTCGTCAGTCACCAGGCCATCGGCACTGATGAGACTCCCGAGATAAGTGAAGCGGTCTACACCTTCGACTACTTCACTCCCTATCACTAGTTCAGGTGCCGATGCAACCCAATCTTGAAGCAACATTTTGCATTTCGAGGGGAAAACCGCATCCCTAACATGCTTGCATTGTTGCTTAGGGTAGTCAGAAGACTCTGCATTTTGTCAGCGTCTTCACCAAGTAGGACTATGTCATCGGCATATTCTAAGTCAATAAGCGAGCCACCTGGTAGAAGGTCTACTCCAGAAAATTCAGACGAGGATAAGGTTATTTCTAGGAGCATGTCTATGATAAAATTAAACAAGAATGGAGAGAGTGGACATCCCTGACGGACACCACATGATGTAGAGAATTCCGGTGACAGTTCGCCATAAGCTCTCACTCGACCAGTGGTGTTTGAGTAGAGAGCTTGTATGAGGTTAATTTACTTCTTTGGTACACCTTTCAATGACAGACACTGCCACAGAACCTCACGATCCACAGAGTCAAATGCCGCCTTAAGGTCCAGGAAAAACA